ACTGTTTAATACAGGCACTGGCACTGGTGTTAGATATAGACACTACTGTTTAATACAGGCACTGATGTTAGATATAGACACTACTGTTTAATACAGGCACTGATGTTAGATATAGACACTACTGTTTAATACAGGCACTGATGTTCATATAGACACTACTGTTTAATACAGGCACTGATGTTAGATATAGACACTACTGTTTAATACAGGCACTGATGTTAGATATAGACACTACTTTAATAATACAGGCACTGATGTTTCATATGTACAGATATAGACACTAGTGTTTAATACAGGCACTGATGTTTCATATAGACACTACTGTTTAATACAGGCACTGATGTTATATATAGACACTACTGTTTAATACAGGCACTGATGTTTCATATGGACACTGTTAGAATACAGGCACTGGATATAGACACTACACTGTTTAATACAGGCACTGATGTTAGATATAGACACTACTGTTTAATACAGGCACTGATGTTTCATATGGACACTAGTGTTTAATACAGGCACTGGTGTTAGATATAGACACTAGTGTTTAATACAGGCACTGATGTTTCATATGGACACTTTAATACAGTGTTTTTACAATACAGGCACTGATGTTTTCATATAGACACTAGTGTTTAATACAGGACACTGATGTGTTAGATATAGACACTATAGACTATGTTTCATATGGACACTAGTGTTTAATACAGGCACTGATGTTTCATATGGACATTATATATGGACACTAGTGTTTAACTATAGTGTTTAATACAGGCACTGATGTTTCATATATAGACACTAGTGTTTAATACAGGCACTGATGTTAAATATGGACACTAGTGTTTAATACAGGCACTGATGTTAAATATAGACACTAGTGTTTAATACAGGCACTGATGTTAAATATAGACACTAGTGTTTAATACAGGCACTGATGTTAAATATAGACACTAGTGTTTAATACAGGCACTGATGTTAAATATAGACACTAGTGTTTAATACAGGCACTGATGTTAAATATAGACACTAGTGTTTAATACAGGCACTGATGTTAAATATAGACACTAGTGTTTAATACAGACACTAGTGTTTAATACAGGCACTGATGTTAAATACAGGCACTGATGTTTTAATACAGGCACTGTGTGTTACAACATAGACACTAGTGTTTAATACAGGCACTGATGTTACATATAGACACTAGTGTTTAATACAGGCACTGATGTTAAATACAGACACTAGTGTTTAATACAGGCACTGATGTTAAATATAGACACTAGTGTTTAATACAGGCACTGATGTTAAAACACTAGTACAGACACTAGTGTTTAATACAGGCACTGATGTTAAATATAGACACTAGTGTTTAATACAGGCACTCATGTTAAATACAGACACTAGTGTTTAATACAGGCACTGATGTTAAACATAGACACTAGTGTTTAATACAGGCACTGGTTTTAAATATAGACACTAGTGTTTAATACAGGCACTGATGTTAAATATGGACACTAGTGTTTAATACAGGCACTGGCACATTTGTCCACTGTCTAAATGGCATTGTGTAGTCATACCTGACGTTAAGGGCCACTCAAAGTCGGTATTATATAAGTCTGTTATTGTGGAATCCTTTTAATCCGGTACTGTAGCATGATAAACATTATCTACATCGACGAGGTTTCGCTAACGTATGTCGATTCATTCAAAATCTTGAATAATTCGGGGAAACGAATATATTTTATGGACGCTTCATAGATCGCAACATTTGACAGTCAAGGGGAGGTCACTCTCGTTTCCCGTGCTCAAGTCCATGCTCTGAGCAAAATGACGGAAGGGAAGGAGGCGTTTGTTGTCTGCGAGAAAGAGACAGTCAATGACATTCACAGACGAATATTACTCATCAAAAACTTCCTGAACCAATATAGATGGATTATGGATGCATATGTTTCGGTAATTACGTGAGATGGCCTTGTTTTAATACATCATTTTCCGTTAGACTTCTAAATATTGTTTCACCAATATGTTGTGACATATGTTTGTTTACAAATGCTGTAAAAACGCTCGCTTAGTTTGAAAGTCATTTGATCAAAGAACCACGAGTAATCTCATGCCACCTTTTAAGGATTTCATGTATAAAATAAAACGTTTTGAATATTATTAAGTGAGAAATGAAATTGTAAACGTGTTAAAGGGCCACTTAGCCGAGAGCCACTAATCTCTGGCTTCAACTTGGCAGCCTCTCACAGCCAAGTGGGGTACATTACACCCAGCTGCCTTGAGTCGATTTTCTGGCTATCACACCTGCCCGGACTACGGACCGGTTTACCGTCTGCTAGGACAGAGACATAAACTTAGAGACATTATCCATACGCATTACTGAAAATTGACTCATTTGATTTCGATTTTACAAAGAAGTGAAATAGAAAAAGAAAACAATGATGGAAGCTTGTCAGATATCAAGTTGATTTGTTAATTACTGTTATCTTATGTCGTGGATTTGTCAGAAAAAAGTGTTTTGGGATGAAGGTTTAGCAAAGTGGAAGGACTGCACCCATATCTGTGTGTGAAGTGTCACTGGGAAAGACAACATACTCTGTTCTGAGCATCTGCTGATTATACCTTGATTGATTGCTCATTGTTATCTAAAATAATACATTTTCAAAACAACTGGGGACATCATTATATTGTATTATGTGCGGTAAGACATTATCTACGTGAAACACCTGAAACCACATTACATGATCAGTTGAGAAATCCGCATGGGTTATACTAGTATTATAACAAAACATGAGGTTTGGCTAGTATGAGAAGTTTAATTGGTACAAACATCTGTGACACTGAACATATTGTTTGTACAGCTGTAGATATATGTGTCACTAAGTGTGGATATTGACTGATATGTTCCTTGAACATGGTAACAATGATGCACCGGTAACTGTTGTCAGGTGTAATTAGGTTTCTAGTGTTCCCATGTATTTCACTGATGTACAGAAGCATTGGACTGATTCGTTCTAGTCTGTATGTTATTGTCAGGAAGTTGTGTGATGCAAGACCAACAATATGGGAGTAATTGTTTTCACAAGCCTTTTATTTGTAGGCATGTATATGATCAAAAGTAAATGTGTAAAATGTGATTCACTTAGGCAGTTGATAAAATTTTAAAATGTTTGCTTCATTTTGCCAGTTGATTTAAGTCTGTCAATATATTTGACAGATTCACTGAAAATTATCATGAAGTTGGAAAGGGTTTGACAACGTGACTGTAGCTTTGTTATGCATACCAGGTAGAGTACATACACTAAGGCCCAAAATATAGCAGTGTACATTGACTTTTGGTTTCTGTTAATTCTACCATTTTCAGTGATAAACTTAGATATGAAAATGTTTGAACTACATTATCATAATGAAATAAATGGAGATATTTGTCTAGTTGTTTTGTAGATTGCCTACTTCAGTCTCCTTACATGCTGACTGTAACATATTACACACGATTACGATAAGCAATGCTCAGGTGAAATCATCAGTTTGTGTGACTCATCAAACTAGTGAAACCGAACTTGTATAGAATACCATGCTACTATTGCTCAACTCTTATCACACTCTGTGGTCACCCATAATGCGATGTGACCACCCATAATGTTTATCAATGAGATGATTCCTTTTATACTATCACTAATGGATGGTGCAGCAACAAATGCACAACTGGATGGTGCAGCAAAGGCTGCAACAATTCTGGATATCATCTGGGTACAAACCAGTAACTATGGCAACAGAGAAATCCTGTCAACCCTGTCATAGATTAGTGACCTAAGTAAGGTTTGGTAAAGTGTTTTGAGAATTGATTTTAGGTGATGCAAGAAATAATCCTATTTTTGTTTGAGATTAATTGGTTGAATTAAACTTTTTGTTTTTATATTTTCTGCTATCTCAGTTTCTTGTCAAATATGTTTTGCAGGATTTCTTTGTGTCCAATTTTTGGACTCGACTTCCTGGCAGTTGGACACAGTACCTGCGAACCCTCTCCCCTCCACACCTGTCCTTCCTCCTATGTCCTGAACCCCTCTCCCCTCCACACCTGTCCTTCCTCCTATGTCCTGATGTACAGACTTACAGGTAAGTTTCACCTGACACAGTACCTGGACACAGCAAGTAACCCTCTCCCTCTCCACACCTGTCCTTCCTCCTATGTCCTGATGTACAGAACCCTCTCCCCTCCACACCTGTCCTTCCTCCTATGTCCTGATGTACAGACTTACAGGTAAGTTTCACCTGACACAGTACCTGCGAACCCTCTCCCCTCCACACCTGTCCTTCCTCCTATGTCCTGATGTACAGACTTACAGGTAAGTTACACCTGACACAGTACCTGCGAACCCTCTCCCCTCCACACCTGTCCTTCCTCCTATGTCCTGATGTACAGACTTACAGGTAAGTTTCACCTGACACAGTACCTGCGAACCCTCTCCCCTCCACACCTGTCCTTCCTCCTATGTCCTGATGTACAGACTTACAGGTAAGTTTCACCTGACACAGTACCTGCGAACCCTCTCCCCTCACACCTGTCCTTCCTCCTATGTCCTGATGTACAGACTTACAGGTAAGTTTCACCTGACACAGTACCTGCTCTCCCTCCACCCTGTCCCCTCCTCCTGATGTACAGACTTACAGGTAAGTTTCACCCACAATACTACCTGCAAACCCTCTCCCCTCCACACCTGTCCTTCCTCCTATGTCCTGATGTACAGACTTACAGGTAAGTTTCACCTGACACAGTACCACCTGACACACCCTCTCCCTCCACACCTGTCCTTCCTCCTATGTCCTGATGTACAGACTTACAGGTAAGTTTCACCTGTCACAGTACCTCAAGTAACCCTCTCCCTCCCTCCACACCTGTCCTTCCTCCTATGTCCTGATGTACAGACTTACAGGTAAGTTTCACCTGTCACAATACCTGCAAACCCTCTCCCCTCCACACCTGTCCTTCCTCCTATGTCCTGATGTACAGACTTACAGGTAAGTTTCACCTGACACAGTACCTGCGAACCCTCTCCCCTCCACACCTGTCCTTCCTCCTATGTCCTGATGTACAGACTTACAGGTAAGTTTCACCTGTCACAATACCTGCAAACCCTCTCCCCTCCACACCTGTCCTTCCTCCTATGTCCTGATGTTCAGACCTGTGTAAGCCGAATCTGTGTCCTCATGCTGAGTTGATCACTCTGTTTACCACTGTTTTGTTCTTGCCTTGAATGGGGCTGACTGAAATATTTCACCACAAATCTACTGTGGACTTGGACATAACTCAATTCTTATTTGCAAATCAGAGGTTTCAGATTACAAATGCATTAACCACCAATGATGTTTTCATTAAAAATATCTTTATGAAGAAAAGTACTTCTCAATGGTCAGAGGCCTGTCAGTAGGCATAAAATGATATCAGTTTGTACAATTATGGCTTACAAAATTCAGAATTACAATAACTGTGATATTACCATTAGCTATGATACTATTAGCACATCAGACACAAAAACACTAAATGACTTGACTGGTGTGTTTTAATAAGTTTTAGAGATAACAGCACATTTGAAATTTGGAAGGTTTCTATATCCAGCTACCCCCAAATGGACATCATAACAGTCATGTGAAGTATGGATCTGAACCTTGTAAGCCTTCCTCCATGTTTGTCTAAGAGGAAACTTGATGCACACTGCCAACGTCCGTCTCATAGGTTATTCCACAGATACAGAGATTGTTCCCATGTGTGCAGATATTGGTCAGATGTCTTAATCAGCTCATGTATATTATTCCATGTTAATGTAATGATATTTGTTTTGTTCAGTTCATACAGAGATTGTGCCCATGCATGCAGATGGTAGTCAATTGAGTGAGTGTGTTTAGTTTTACGCCGCTTTTAGCAATATTCCAGCAATATCACGGCGGGGGACATCAGAAATGAGCTTCAAACATTGTGCCCATGTGGGGAATCGAACTCGGGTCTTCGGCATGACGAGTGAACGCCTTAACCACTACCCCATCGCCCCGGTAGTCAAATGTCTTAATCAGCTCACATTAATTTTATTCCACGTTAATGTAATAATATTTGTTTTGTTCCATTCAGTGGCGTCCCCCCTCTGTCGCTGTTGTCGTACAGGATGTGTATCCTGAGTATGGCTCTGAGACGCCAGCCAGTGGACCTGGATGACAGACAGCAGATGCAGAACATCCTCAACCACCTGAAAGTCTGTCACCCCAGACAACACACAAAGATGGTGCCTCAGGGAGCTGAGGACACTGAAGGAGACATGCCCAGCCTTGACCTAGAGTCATGTGACCCAAGCAGCCATCTTGTTGATCGTGAGGAGTGGCGTGGGGTGATGAAGAATGGCCAATGGATGGAGCTAGAACACGTGTACAGGAAACATGTCAAACCCAAAAAACAACATGAGATTCAGAAGCTGAGCCAGGTAGCTGCAAATGGGTGCTGTATGGTCAACTTAAGTTCTGGTGATTCATAGTGATTTAACAATGTTCTCAGTACTCAGGAATAAACCAGCATTGAGATGGATTCCATAGCATCCATATTGAAAATAAGTTTGAACCTCCCAAACGAATTCATGCATGTGAAATTGCCAATCGGTTAGTGATCTTCACTGCGAGATGGTAATAATACTCATATTGAAGAACTACTATCCAGTCTGACATTTGCAGATTTAAATTACCTTGCTCACTAATACCTGGCAAACTGAATTTGTCAGTACACAGCTAGCTACTCACACATTAACAGTGCACATCACACATCATTGGTCAGAATAAACAAATAGTGATGGGTCCATTTTCATGATTGTGAGCCTTCATATGTTGCCACTCCAGACTATCAGCCATCTTTGCTGCCAGTGTCGATGTTCTCCAGTTGTGGATGTTGGGGCGGGACTAGGTCACCTCTCAAGGATCCTCACCTTTGCTCATGGGGTCAAGGTCACAACAGTTGAGGCTGAAGGGGGTCATGCTCCAAAGGCAGAACAGTATGACAGGTACGTATATGTACAGATGACTTGCACTGCCATATGGCCATGACCCGGAACCGTTTAACAAACACATCCAATACAGCCATAGTAAGTCAAGATTACTGAAGTCTCCGAGAAATGAAGAACATTTCGTGGCTTCTCTGTATCATAGTTTCTGGAGATTAGTCAACTGTATTTTCAGTGAAAGATTTTTGTTTCAAAGACAAGGTAGATGTTAGTCTAGGTTGTAATCTTTACAATAGCATAATGTTATAATGTCCAGAATGTAATCTGAACAGTAAAAGTAGTAATGCTGATGTTGTAGGCCCTAAGTGTTCGTGTATGACTTGATTTGTTTCGGATGGGAATAATCATCGTATTTCTGACTCATTCTCAGGGAAATAAAGAAGAACATCAGAAAGGCAAAACTGAAGGTGAGTCAGGGACATGCTGAGCCAGTATATTATATTTGGAAGGTTAGAGTAGAGTCAGGGTATTGTTATCAGTCACTGCATCTAAACACAAATTTTGTCTGAGCTGAACAATTATTTTTGAAAATTCAGGACATCCAGAATGTCCAACAATCAGTTCATTTTAAAGGGTGAAAATCTTCAGGGAAATTATTCCTTCCTTTTCTTTCTGAAACAAATTTGGGTACTTTTATTTTCAGTAGTTGTTTGATGTGAGTCAACTGTGTTGCTCTTCCAGAAAGAGAAACTGGCGGTGAGAGAGTCAGCTGACGAGTGGTCAGAACCTGTAGGTGGACTGCCCAGCCACATCGTCAGTAGAATACATGCTCACATCTCTACCAGAGATTTCCTGGCCCTCATCAAACACAACAGACATGAGCAGCAGACAGAACAGTGTAGGGAGCAGACGGGCAGTGGAAGCCATCTTGAAAGTCCTCATATGAATCAGAATGAGAGCTTGAAGACCGTGTGTGCCAATGGTACAGCATATGAGACAAACAATGAGCGTGTAGACAGTGATGTCAGCAAAAATAACTTTCCTCATATTAATACTCAAGATGGAGATGTGGCCGAGATGAGTACTGAGTGTCTCACTCCAAACAAAACCAACTCATGTACTTGCAGTCCAAAGAAAACAACCTCTGATATTACCAAAGATATTACAAATGAAAACACCATGTCAAAATGTGAGATTCACAACAGAGACAGCAATCAAAAACACCAGGTTACCATGGAGACAGACAAGTCTGAGGAGGTAGAGGCTGAAGACCTGTTTGTCCTGGACGGACTCCATGCCTGTGGAGACCTGACTCCCACCCTGATCCGGATGTTCATCAACTGTGAAGCTGCAGTGGGACTTGCATCTGTTGGTTGCTGCTACATGAAGCTGTCGGTGGATGTGACAGGGTGCGTTTCATTCGATTACAAGAAAATCCTATGATGATCAGTCCTTTTGGATTTTTGGTTGGAGTGAAATACTGTTCAGAGCTGTGTTAAAGGAGAATACAAACGAAAACAAAATTTTTGATATATTGTAAAGGATATTCGAAAAGTCACCTTCCGTGATTAAAATTGAACAAAGAGTTTGTAAAATAGCAATACAAACGCAAAAAATGTACTCATATTTCTGCCTATTACGGAAACACCTGACAGTTAATGAGCAGACGGGGTATCACGTGACATGACGTCATATGTGCCTGTTACTGATGGCTTCCTCTCTGATTTTACCTCACAACTTAACAGCGTCCATGGATTCTGAAGTAGTAAAAGATGTTTCTGATATCATTTCTGAAATGGATGTTAGGCCGTATCAATACGATCCGATATTACGTCTGGCAAGACAATCTTCCAGATGAAGTAGAACGTCAAAGCAAAACATTTTCAAGCTCAGCTCATGGGTACCAGTCGAACTGCTCCAGTTACAAAATGCCCCAGCAAATTTGGTCATTCATTCTAATTTGGTCAAATTTATTTAAAATGATTAAATATGTGCCATATATGCATAGTTTTTGTCAACTTTGATATTATGTTCTTCATATAAATGTTATTAGGAAGTAATATTTCTGATAAATGTTCCATTAGTAAACTCATAACTGTGTAATACTTTTATGTGAAGAACATAATATCAAAGTTGACAAAACTATGCATTCATGGCCTATATTTAGGAGATAAACATCATGTGTTGGCCAATTTCCGGGTGTTATTGAGTATTTGAAGCACGGGATTCATATGGAACTGACAGAGCCAGTCGGAGGTTTCAAATGAAATATTCCCGTGCTTCAAATACTCAATAACACCCGGAAAGTGGCCAACACATGATGTTTATCGACATTGTAAACACAAAAGTAAACCAAGAGGTCAACACACGTTTTTGTGTCTGCACTCATTGACATCGAGTACAGGTACAGCAGTGAAATGTCATCAGCCGTCCGTTTCGGCTGTCTCCCATGGTCGCATCTGGAACTGATCATTTGTGACGTCATTCGGACTTTACGTCACAATATGATTTTAATGACATCATCACAGCTGATGACGTAACAATACAATGGTGTGAGCGATGTTTGTATGTATTAATACGCAGCGAATTTCCGGGAATCCAATACCATTTGATCACGTTTTTCAACCAATCAGATTAAAGAACACAGTGACTTTTGGTTTACAATTAATCATTTTAAATAACTTGGGGCATTTTGACTATCCCCCTGGGGTGATTTGACCAAAACTCCAGGGCAATTTGACCAAATTTTCTGGGGCAATTTGCAGCGGGACAATTTGACTGGCAATCGGACTTGATTTAATATATGTTAAAAATACCACTGACAGTAAGTTGTAACAGGGAATGATGGAGTATACATTAATCCCATGGGTAAATCAGCATCTTCAATCTAGCTTTGGGATTTGTATACCCCATATGTGCTTGTCTCTTTCATGTGCGTCCGACTCTGAATGATCGGAATATTTCTCCTGCCTAAATCTGTCTCTTTACTTGGAAAACGGAAGAAATGGTGGCTCTTTCCATTGTTCGATGATTCCGTGCATCCCCAGGCAACGGAATACACCATCGTACAAAAACGACAGAAACAACACGATTTATATTACTGTAGCGCTTCTTCTTTGGCAATATGGCGGATGCTAGTCACATATGACGTCACGAGCGGAAAGGTCACGTGTGTTCCAGCGGAATATGCATAATGGCCGAAGCTCAGATAACAGAAACTGTTTCTCCGATAAAAACATAATAAACCATATTTTTTAAATAAAAATTTGGGGGTCATGTTTCTGATGACTTTATCTTTCACACAGCAAATTATTGCAATTGTCTAGCATTCTCCTTTAATCAAACTCAGTGAGTTACTTTGAATTGTCAGTTTCAAATATCAGTTTCTCAGTATTATCAAACTCACTCAGGTAAAACATATTGTTTACCATTCCTGGTATTTTAGGTCATCTGAAGGCGTGGCCCAGCAAGACATTGGCTATCCCATGAGTCAGTTTGTTGCTGGTCTGCCAGATGCTGGTCTCACGTACTCATCTCGGGAGCTGGCCTGCCACTTTGCTGATTGCTATATACAGAGGCTGAAAGGTAATTCTGGACATCAGGGATGAGTAGAATGGTTGGGGAGTGTAATGGGAGGCCCGCCAAGGTTTGCAAACAACAGAACTGATTTTTGTCTTCAAAACTTTAATCCTTTTTCTGAAGAAGTATGGTGCATTGTGATATCAAGAAATTGTTTTATATCTTCGCTTCACACAATAACTCACATCAATACATCTACATTCTCTGATATTCCGAGACATTCCGTAACACCAAACCTTTATTTGTACACAAACACATCTCTCGCTTGCTCGCTCGACATTGCTACTCTCCTTCCTGTCATTACATTGAAGATTAGAGTTATCTGCTCTTGAAGCATCACTAAAATCATCACTAAGCTGACTACAACAGCTGACTGCAGTTACAGTGAGGGTTTCTCAGCTGTAGTTTGTTCGACAAATTATCGAGACATTTTCAAGATTAATGATTTATGTGTAAGTTCAATAAAGTGGTTGAATTGTTGCACGTTCTGTACACAAGGATATCCCACTTTGCAAACAATCAGTATTGTTGTAAACAATGGATACATCTCTTAAACTAGATAAATATCAATGTTCCTAAACATCCAATAAATCCATCAATAATGTTACTCTAAAGAATATTATTATCATTAACTGACCTTTCAGACAACCCAGCACACCTGAAGATCCACAGCTACCGGGCCGCCCTCCAGCATGTCATCCAGTCAGTCAGACCTGACTTCCAGAATGGACTTATCAAACTCACAGTTAGACGTGCAACTGATCTGTCATTTGAGAAGTAGGTAGTTGTCATAGATCAGGGAAGTTCAAAAGCCCCAGTTAAAGGGGTGCTACGGCTGTGCCAATTATCAGTCCCTGCACTTAAATTCCCTTAAGGTGTTCTTTGTGTGCAAGTTCAATTTCATGTATATTTCTAAAGCAGTTAACCATAAGCCTACTGTCCAAGAGACAATATCCACATTTAACACTTCACAGTAAATATTACAATGTCTAGACTTACATTTTAACTAGTCCTCAGTTAGCAACAGGCTGTAGAGCTGAATGTCTTTGTAAATGTAGTCACAAGGATCACAAGCAAGATGTGCTTTCTGTTATTGTATGAAAGTTGTGTTAATCCCAGATAGTTTTCATCCCCTTGGTTCAGCACATAAGCATGTGATTCGGGGAGTCTGTTGATGTCTGAAAGTAGACACAGTATGAGGAAACATTATACATACTTTGATAATCTATACTTTGATTTTCAGCTATGCAAAAACAGCACTTGAAAAGTTAGGTTTTACATCAGACATCCCACCTGAAGTTTTGAGTGTTGCTGAGAGTTACCTCCCCTTATGGAAGGATGTTGTAGTGTTCTACACTCTGAGACTGTGCCTGGCGCCAGTGGTGGAGACCCTCCTTCTCCTGGACAGGATGCTGTACCTACTGGAGCATGGTCAGTCCTTACACCAGGACATACCTGGATGTCTCTAGACTATCTAGACAACCGTAACTCATTAGTATAGGCAACCCGTGAAGGTCCGGGTTAGAATGAGCCTTCAGTAACCCATGCTTGTCGTAAGAGGCGTAACGGGATCGGGTGGTCAGGCTCACTGACTTGGTTGACACATGTCATTGGTTCCCAATTGCGCGGATCAGTGCTCATGCCGTTGATCACTGGATTTTCTGGTCCAGACTCGATTATTTACAGACCGCCGCTATATAGCTGGAATATTGCTAGATGCGGCGTAAAACTAAACTCACTCATTAGCATAGGCTCCAGTTAATCCCAAGCTGACGCATAAATCAAAATTGCTGAATGTCTTTTTACAGAATTGTGTCCCTTAGATGTGTCAGGATTTTGCTAATTGTGGTTTGAATTTTCGCCGTTTCTTATTTTTGTCAAGAAAGAATCATAGACAATGATTGTAAATGATAGTCACCTGGAAACCTGCAGGTGGAGAAGATGATATTATGTGATTATAGTCAAAAACCTTCCTTTACTGATAATAAGGAGTACCTCCATATTGTAGTGTATAGAGGGTCAGTTGAAGGTCATACCAAAAGACATGAACAGATGGTACATCCTATTACCATTTCTGATTCCTGGTATAAGGGTTGAAGGTCATACCAAAAGACATGAACAGATGGTACATCCTATTACCATTTCTGATTCCTGGTATAAGGGTATAAACTACTCATGCTGGAGCACCAGGATTAGATCCCCACATGTGTACAATGTGTGAAGCCCATTTCTGGTGTCCCATGCCGTGATGTTTGCTGGAATATTGCTAAAAGCGGCATAAAACCCCACTCACTCTCTCACTCACTCACTCACTCATACAGTAAATCTGTTTACAGAAACTAACAGAAACTACATTAGGTATCCATTATATACTAAAAGCAGTGTAAAAGCATACTCATTCACCCATTCACCTTAATAATGAAAGACATTAAACATCTGTCTTGGTACGTCCCTCTCATTCCAGGAGTCCCCAGCGTGCTGGTGCCGATATTTGACCCTAAGCTGTCACCCAGGAACTATGTCCTCCTGGCCACGAAGGAGTGATGAAGTCGGTGATGTCACCTTCAGCCATCTACTTATGTAGCGATGTAGCAGAATATTCAGTTGTCTTTTATATCATATCATGAATGGTCAACAGTATCATTTGTAGCAGTTGTAGGAGCATTGATGTGGCTTTGTGGTGGACGTGTTTGATTGTCATGCTGAACACGTGGGTTAGATTCCCCACTTGGGAAAATGTTTGAAGCAAATTTCTGGGGTCACCTGCTGTGATATTGCTGGAATATTTATAACAGCTGTGTAAAACACACATTAAAGTCACATTAAAGTTGTCTCTCATTTCACCCTTGAACCAAAATTCAGCAATCTCAGACTGTGTTTGTGGTCTAGTGGTCAGTTGTCCCTTCAATTCAAACCAAGTATTCTTCAGTACAATAACTGTAACAGAACATTCACTTGCCCTTGTATGTCATATTGAAGCAGGATATTCAACAGCCCTTCTGTCTCACACTGAAGCCAAATAATCAACAGCCCTTGTATCTCACATTGAAGCAGAATAATCAACAGCCCTTGTATCTCACATTGAAGCAGGATTTTCAACTGCCTTGTCTGTCATATTGAAGCAGAATAATCAAACAGCCCTTGTACATTACATTGAAGCAGGATAATCAACAGCCCTTGTACGTTACATTGAAGCAGGATAATCAACAGCCCTTGTATCTCACATTGAAGCAGGATTTTCAACTGCCTTGTCTGTCATATTGAAGCAGAATAATTAGACCAATGCTTGGTCCCTAAATAAAGTGGAAGCTGTCAAAACCGACAGCTGTCCAATCCGGCAAGTTGTCAACACCAGCATATAATCTCAGTCCCGTCCGTGGCTAGTGCATTTATCATCATTTGAAAGCTCTGCAATGCGGCAGGTGTCAATTCCGGATCTCAGCATGAAATGAGCCGCCTGAAAATGTTTTTACAGTTATCAGCGCTGTCTAATCTGGCGCCTGGCGAGGAGTTGGTCAAGGGTGTATTGTCACTAATTAATCCTGTGTTAAAACTACATGGTTGCCGACAAAGATAATCTAATCTTAGTTCAGTATGAGTATACTTGTACATGTAATTAGTGATTTAATACGTTTTATTGTCAGTGTGTGCAGTCATTGAGGGAACCATGTGATACAACAATGTATATGAGAGTGACAAAGCTGGTCCAGTTCTAGTTGTAGGTAACCGTGTCAGCTCTACAATCCGGCATGCTGTCTAAACCGGATTGTTTCTTCAGTCCCGACATGTGCCAGTTTAGACAGTAACGTTACTAACAAATAAACCCATTTATATTGTAAAGGAGCCCCGGTGATACAGCTGGACCTGGGGAAATCTAGACTTGCTTCATTTAGGGTTTTAGCATTGCAGGGAGGGCTAGGCAGAAGGGAAAATAATGTGGTTCAGAGAGACTACAGAATAATCAACAGCTATTGTATGTCACATTGAAGCAGAATATTCAGTTGCCCTTGTATGCTACAAAGAACCAGATTATTCAGTAGCTCACTGGAGATGTTGAAACAATTAGTTAAATTCGATATATGAGGATCTGAGGGTAGTTAAAATTCAACATATGAGGATCTGCGGGTAGTCAAGTTACAGTTAGTCTCACGAACAGGCCAAAGTTAGAAATGATCTTCAGCAGGTGATGGCTAATGGCATTGGGTGGTCAGGCCCACTAACTTGGTTATAATGTGTCTCTGTATCCCTACTGGACAGATCAGTGCTCATTGTGAAAATTACTGGATTGTCTGGTTGAGACAGGTTATTTACATACTACTATCATACTGACAAGGGCAGTGTGAAAATAGCTATCAAAAACAGATCAGTGGGCATGGCGTGATTCCTCACTTAAAGATGGTATCTGAATCCCATTTTCAGATCTTGCTGGACTGGGAGAATTCAAAATGTGTTATAAAACCTGACTCCCCCAACATGGAGTCAAACACAGAGTACTTTAATGTCAAGATTCTGTTATGTAACAACTTGAAGGTACATAATCCTGTATAATCAAAAACAACAGAACAATTGAAGACACATTATAATTTATTCTTTGTTCAAATAAGTATATGAGCATAAGTGTGAGGTTACTCCATGATGTGATATGTATAGATATATATATATGTTTATAAATATAAAATGCTGATGTCTATGATGCCATAAGACAAACTTAATCCTCGCATGTGGAAATAGTTTTGTAATAATTTCCTTGGGGATTAACTAAACAAATCATAAGTAAATTGAGTGTTTTGATTCAATTTGATTGAATTGATCAGGATCCTTCAACTCAAATCACGACTCATCCTGGAGTAGTTCTTGAGACACAAATCAAAACGTTTACTTTGTGAAATGACCTCCATGGCAGTATACATTAAATTGGTTTTATCAAGAAGAACATAACTTGTACAAGGTACTATGTTTGATATTACAAGAATTCATGGTATGACAAAATAACGGCTTAGATGATATATATATGATATGAAACATATGATGAATATATTAGCCAGTTGTTTTCTGTCACGTATCAAAATAAAATTGCAAAAATCTGCAAGCTTGTGTGTTTTTTTATGTTTGACTTAACTGTTTGACTGGCTGTTGGCACACATTGTGGTTACAACATCAGTTGTCCATACAACAGCATGTGATGATACTCAGTGACTTTGTCACAACTTTAACACAATATTACAACTTCTCAAATTATGCAGTTACTTGCATCACAAGTTCGCCAAATCAGTGTCCAGCAAACGTCTTCACAAACATCAGTAATTTGTAACCATATCACAGATCCTACTAGCATACTATACAAACAACTACATTTCAGAACATTGATCTTCACCAGTGTGATAAAGGCAAGATTAAAAACTTAATGACTTCAGTTTAAATTATTGTACTCTGCTCAAGCCAATTATGCCTACAAAGAATCACAGACGTTTGCTGTCCAACGTTAACAGTCACAATGAAACTGTTCAGTATTCAGCAGAAATAAGACATGAGGACTTCACATTTCAGGGTTCCTACAGCCATGAACTAAGTCAATATGCAACATGCATCAGTCTGCGAAAAAATAATTAAAAACAAAACTAAATATATGCCAAACGTCACAGGACATACACAATAGGATACGTCTTTTACTTAATCCTACTCCACCTGATCCCCAAAAAGATTTGTTTAGTCAATATCTCCATCGCACAAGGATGATGTTATTCTGGGCTTCGCTTGTAGGTGATTCTCCTTGGCAAATATTACGGTGCACATCCCATACACTTAAGTCAGCTTATGTCATGATGTCACTGGAATATCTTGCACAAACCTGCCACATCATTACATTGGTTCTGCAGCCAACATCTAATGTGAAGCCTGCATGTCTGCATTCTGTATGCCAAACTTCTCACTTTGTGATTGGTTTGCATATAGACTGCAAATTATATCCTTGGATTCAACAGTATATATCATACAGTTTAAGGGGCTGTGGTTACAGCATTCGCTCGTCACGCCAAAGACCCGTGTTTTATTCAATGTGTGAAGCCCATTTCTGGTGTTCCCCGCTGTGATGTTGCGGGAATATTGCTAAAAGCGGCATAAAACCCAACTCACTCACTCATACAGTGAATCTGTCTATAGAAAATATCTTAGGCATCCATTATACACTTCACAAGAAGGGAATTCAGTTGACATTTTTTGTCACCTGTTCCCAAAGTCTGGAAGTCACGATGCACACCTTAATGATGACCTCTTTTCACAGCCTTCAATACAATCTCCTATTCAGCAGCTCTGAGCCCTGTGAAGGGGAACACTTGTTAGTGGCAACTTATGTGCAGTGATGAAGATGGGTTACTTACACTATTGCCGAAATATTATGAAACATTATCAATACTGTTTGTAATTACTATCAAGCACTAACATAAAGCTAACCATGATGACCTCACTTGTGTCAAAGCACTCAAATATAGTCTCTCCCTAACATGCTTAAGTACGGATTCCATACATAGTTTCCAAATTCAAACTGAAGTGAACACACGTAAAACCTGCAAGTATAAAATATGTACAGATTATTCAAAAAACAGAATATTGTCAATTGTTACTGTACAATGAAACCTCACGAATTCCTGGTGCATTATATATTATATAGGTTGCGTTAGAGTACAGTTTGAGACATGTGGAGAGGTTATACTGACCATCATGCTGATACAGATTCGGGCAGCTACAAACTCCAGAGAATTTCATCATGATACATATATACTGAGCCAAAAAAGTAAGGAACATGAAAAATTTGAGGACTATTTTTTGACACTGTTCTCCATCTCCATAGCTAAAAATATCCCCTAAACTCCTTAGTATCCCTAACTTTTATTGTCCAGTATAGTAAACAATAACAACAATAAAATTGTGCAGTATCAAGTGGGACTTCTACTGAATGCAATATGCATTGAAAATGACAGTTCATAAATAGCCACCTGACACGTGCTACGGTTGGTCAAGTTTAGGAACAGAGTCACATGAGTAGTCAATAATTCGTTTGAAAACTTTTCAGAATATATGGCAAATATAACCAGCAACAATCTTAATTTCACTTGTAATCCAATGATTAAGAAAAATAAGTCGTCAAGCACAATCGCTGTAATCTTGCTCTCTGTAAACCTTGGTAAATATACTACAAACAAAAAATATGGGAACACCCTAAATTTGATAGTCATATATAAACTGAAACCTGGTGAGGTTCCCATATTATTCATCTAAAATTATCACTCAGATTGTTATATTACAACTTGATATTCTGTAACTAAATGTCAATATGAAGTAGATATAGAAGTCACAACCATGCTCTATACATCAAGTATTTCCCATTAAGTCTACCTGTATGTCATGATGTAGCAGCATTAAATGTTTTAACTTCAGGACATCAGAATGTTATCTCTTGTAGTTTCATATAAATTGGGTGAGAAATGTATCAGCAAAACTGACATTGATGGAATGTTGTTTGTTCAATATTAGACTTGATATTAATCACTGAAGTTGGGCCATACTTTGGACATACAATATTATCTTAGCACTGAATTGTAATCATGATATCAAAACCAAAACTCTTTGGTAATTCTAAGTTCAAATATCAAGATGCTTAGAAGACAACATATCTGGGAACATGTACAAAAGGAAGGAAACGTGATGATATGGACTGTTTCACATGGAAAAGCACCTGATGGTATGGAAGGCTTTACCAAGGTACAAGCTTTGATGGTATGCCTTTGTACACAAATCATCCCAAATGAAGTAACTTTGATGGTATGTAATACATCCCAAAGGAATGAACATTAATGGTATGCAGTGCATCCCAAAGGAACAAACTTTATGGTATGCAATACATTCCAAAGGTACGAACCTTGATCGGATTCCGTGAAACCAACAGACAGGAATCGGGCCTTTGCATGTCCAAACTGAGGCTGTTTGGAATGAAGCCAGGGATGATTGTTTTGAACAGTTCTGATGTTATTTTCAGGTGAATATGACACAACAATATGTATGCTTGCATGTACGTATACATGTATATATTTGTATAAATACTTGCTTTTGATTTTGTAACATTGCCACTATGGAATGAAGGAGACGGGGAATGCTTATATGATATTAAATTCATACAAAACTTCTTTCAAAACAAAATTCATTATATAAATGATAAACAGTGTATAATGTTAAAATCTGAGACAAAAACTTTCATGTGATATTATAGGTATACCCTATCACATATAAAAGAATAAAACAATTGGAATGTGCTGGGAAGACTCCCTTCATGGTTACTAAAATAAGTATCAAACATTATTTATATACAGATTCTTGAAAATAACATTTTCTTAGGTTCATACATTTCATTTGCTTGCCATTAATCATACAAATCAACAAGTAGGAGCTGAACATTCCATAAACAGGTAGTGATGTCTGTCGCCTTCAGCATGAACACATTGACATGGTGTCTTCTGCTCAAAGGATGAAGAATCTTATAGTGACTCAAATTACCCAATCTGTATTTGCGAATGTTAACACAAACTGTCAGACTTCTGGGAAATGACTGTTTATGCCTAACACTCACTGCTGTGATAATATGGGATGGGGCATTATACACGGAACCCATATGGGAACTAAACCTGGCCATGTTCAGGAAAAGGGGCACTGCCTACCTGGCCACTAACAATATCTAAATACTGGAAGCAATGGATACAAAGTTGTAAACAGGAAACAGAACCCAATTAGCATTCTATGTAAGTCAGTATCTTCTCACAGATGATGCTACCAATGATTACTTAATACAGAAAGTGAGTGTATATTAAGAGAGTGTTCAGTCATTACAACACATGGCTACATATGACCATTATCAGTTCCTCGTCATTGCGAAAAGCACTGCATGAAAGCAAAGCCAGCTTTAAGGAAAACTTTATTTACACTCAGCCTCTATTTTCTTCACACTGAAATCACTGATCTGTCTTCCAACACAATTCATCACTGGCTGTGGAACAGGTTTTATTTCTTTCAGCTTGGTATTACGCATGTGCTATATCTATAGTTTAAACTAAACGCTTCTAATACAAGCTTTGGTTTTACTTGCCTGTGCAGCAATAAAAAAATCATCAGATAATGTTATATTCCGTGACAGAAAATACTCGGTAAAGTTTGAGGTATATTCAAGTTGAACAAACACATGTGATACCAGTTATAAAACAACAGAATCTGATAACACAAATAATAATATGAAAGATTTAGCACCCAACCTGTATATGTAACACGCGTGACATGTGCATCCCTTCAGTTCTCCTGTAATGTAAGGCTTCATCAGTTAAAACTCTATCTTTACCTCACCAACATCCAATAACCTTAATAATCAACTCCAAAAGTTCTGTTATTGCTAGTATTCTACATTAATTATTTAAAAGGAATTATTAAAATACATATTCAATTCTCATTGTGCTTGATTAGTTTTAGTTTGCTCCAAAGTTCATATGTACATAATATATTGCAGTTTGGGGTTAAAAAAACATATTTTTGACACAGAGGAAACATATAAAACTGTAGCTGTTTTGTTAGTGGAAGTGTCTTCCTCACCATTCAAACACAACATCACATGTAAAACTTCTTAAAACGTTAAGTGACGCAACAGTGTGGAATGATATCAGGCAAGTAACCAACAATATCTAAGATCTAGGAACATCCAAATAACCTTAAAATACAGAGCAAAGTATTAAAATAAGCATGGTACGACTGGTTGTGGAGAAATATTTCTGGTACGCCAAATTTGTGTTTCAAATTTTGAGCATAAATACTAAAAGTACTCTTACAACACCAAGGGTTAATGTAAATATCTGATATTCTTCAACTCTGATAAAACGAATAAAACTGACAAACATGTTGCTTAACAATGATTACATACTGACGCTTTGTTTTCACATTGACCCTCTGTCAAATTGACAAATCTGTTTCAGTCAAGAATCCAAACGATTCATACCGATAATTTACTCCAGCAGATGCACACTTCACCTTTACATGTCTTCATAAAACTCTTAAATTGAAAGAACTTGAATTGTTCAGCAAATAAAACATATTTTTCAGACACAGACACTATTTCCATAAATTATCTATGACACCAATCGCATGGTGTGGTGTAGTACAATATCACATTACAAGTCTGTTGGTGTACAAGGCGGCTGCTGGTAGCGGTCAACAGAACTGTTCCATGCTGCGTAGTTCGATGATTTGGTGCAAGGCTTGTTTCACATCAGGATCCATGTGACCCTAGAAGTACACAATACACATTACATATCAGCGCTTGGGTAGCCTAGTAGTTAAAGTGTTTGCTCATCATGCCAAAGGCTCGGGTTCGATTCCCCACATGGGTACGTGTGAAGCCCATTTCTGGTGTCCCCTGCCATGATATTGCTGGAATTGCGGTGTAAAACCATACTTACTTACTCATTACATATCGCACAATACACAAGACATGTGACATACACATTACCCAGAGATGCCAACCCTAATTTAGCACAATAAGTATTTTGGCCAAAAACCAATGCAAAAATTAGTATTAACCTTTTCAGAGAATTTTCCTATTTAATAAAGAATCGATAGATATTCTTAGAACTTGTTATTAACATTGTACTCAATTAAATCAGTAGTAAGTATCCGCATATAGCTTGATACTTACTAAAATGAAGTTGCAATTTATTGTGTATGGTACATATGCTATTTCATAATTTAATTTCATGTATTCTTTTAAAAAATTGTATATATTGTTTTACTGCTATCGTAGTCACATATTTTGTGTTGTTTTTTCGTAACGAATACAATAAAGTCATATGAGTTGGCATCTCTGCATTACCCAATAGATTCATGCTGGTACGCTGCTTAGCCCAACCCTCTACATTATTCCAGCTGTATGAAAGTAGCCTGTGACAGGAAGTGCCCTATGTTGGTTGAATGGAGCAAGGCCACTGAGGGAGTCAGTTGGTTGAGTTAAGCTGCACTTTAAATAGTATTTTAGAGTGTGACAGGAAAAAACACAATCAAAATGAAACCTCGGCAACTGGTTCAGAATTATTGCCCCAAAATAATACCAATTAATGAGGACTAGAATCCCTCCATTCTTACTTGTCTACAGCTCAGATTAGTACTCCCATGTGAGCTAGTGATGAGTCCCATGGATGTTTGGCACACGTTGCTATGCTTACATTACTGTCGCTAGGTAAAAGTTTTAGTTATAAAACAATTAACCTTTAGGGAGCACAGAGTTGAATACTGACAAATATTTGGATAACTTCTTTTGGTACAGATTCTTGTACCATTGTCCAGTCCCTGTTAGACAACAGTACAACAATCTGTCGCACTCACAACATAAAGAAGTTTTGTTGTCCATAAATTTGTCAGTATTGTACTTCGCAACTTCTCACATGAAAGTTGACCAACGTATTTCAACTTCTTTATTCAACCCATGCAATGGTTCAGTAAAGATGTGTGAGCCCTTATTTAACATTTGCCCACATCTGTACCAAACTGTCACATTGAAAGAACACAAAATACATTCATGTCAGCTCTATCTCCATGGATACTGCAGCTTCTTGACTCCCCTCATACCAGTAATACTAAGCTAAGATGGGCCACTGAACACAGCAACTACTGCAACTGCGCACAGCAACTACAGCAACAGCAACTTCAGCAACATGACTCACCTGTACAGCACTAATAAGATGAGTTCGGTAGACACTGACAATATCCTGGTGTTGACGGTCAAATTCCTGGAACATATATATTTCCTGTTGTATATATTGTGTACTGCACTACATCAAAATGGGAAGGGAATTGTCACATAGTGAAGAGAAATGTACTGAAGATTAACAAAACAAAAATCCATGACAACTTAAGACAATGCTGGCTGATATTACTCTGGTAAAATACAATTGATGGAATTTTCTTCCGTATTATTATGGATTGATGAATATACACAATACATTATATGTAAGACATAATTCAGATTAAACTATTACTTGCAACAAACACAATGCACATTTCAAACCATGGTTAATAGGAAACAACACACTTGTTAAATCCACAATCAGAAAACAGAAATTCTTTCAGATTTGTGCTCAACTGGAGGTAGGTCTTGTAAAACCCCAATAATGACCTTTTCACTGGCTATCAAACCCTAACAGTCCCTAACTGAAATGAATTTAAATCTGTCAAATACCTCTTGAATCTATTTTCCTGGAATCAGTCAAAGCATAAGCATACATTTTTGCATGAGACTTGGACCTCCTAACTACAAAATTCATGACTGTCTCAATTATTGTTTGTTCACCAGTCGTATACTTGTTTCAACTTGACCATGTAACCTTTCAGTGATGGGTGGGTGAGTTTAGTCTTACGCACTTTTAGCATTATTCCAGAAATATCACAGTGGTTGACACCAGAAATGGGCTTCACACATTGTGCCCATGTGGGGAATCAAACCCGGGTCTTCAGCGTGGCGAGCGAACGCTTTAACCACTAGGCTACCCCACCTACCGTAACCTTTCAATTCGATAACTTAGTTCTATGAGTTAAACTCTCATCTGTTTGAGTCAACATAGATGACACATATTTTTGTGTCATCATATAATCTTAATGCAATTACGCCCAGTTGAGCTAAATGATGTGTGTCACTGTGAGTACAGCCATTTCCCCATGTTAGGATTACATTCCAGTCGGTGCATCCATTCATACAGAGTGGCAACTTGCTTAAAGCAAAGTTTCAGTTATAGCTGAAAACCCACTGAGCCTTAAGGCATGCATGTGCATAGCTTACATTAGCTTGGAATTATCTCGTCCAACAAGAACCACTCACCTCTTTCAAGCCCACACCCAAACCACATCAATGCTAGTTTACCTAACAACCTTAGCCGAGCTAATTTCTTGACTACTCCTTTGACAACCGAAACACTGAAAGAAACTCAACACAGACACAGCAAATATTTACAACAGTCAACGTCTTCAGTCACGACAGCAAACAGAGAACAGTCTTGTTTCGACCATAAGAATAGAAACCAATCAAAAACGTACAGCTAGTTGTTGCTGCAGATGGGAAATCTGGGTCTGCAGGGACTTGATCTTGAGTGACCTTTCCGGTTTGCTATCACTCTCAGACTTCACGACCTGTTTCTTTGTCTCAGTCTCCCCATTTGTGAGAGAAGCAGACTCAAGGCGCTCCTTCGAATGTACCAAATCAGCCCGAACCTGTTCCAAATCCTTCTGCACTTGTTTCAGTTCCATATTCACAAGTTTCAGGTCTTCCTCCAATGTTGTATTTGCCTTACACAGTTCACTCACAGTCTTTTGAAGTTGATCTCTCTCAGCTACCACAGCTTCATTCTCCTTCACTAACTCTGCATGGTCTTCTGGCGCCTCGTCAATCCTGATGTTCTCTGTCTGACTGTCCATCAGGTCCTGCTCGAGCTTCTCCTTGTCCTTCAGGAGCTCGGTGTAGTCCTGTTCCAACTGGCTATAGTCCTGCTGTAGGATGTCGTGTTGCTGTAAAACTCCCTCAATTTCCTCCACTTCAGCTTGAAGCTGGCAAAGTCATGGAAATATGATTAGGAAAATAAGATTGAACAGTGAAACTTGAAGTTTTGCAGTTCTAGCTTGAAGCTCTAGGGACCATCAGAAAAGTATCACATTATCTGACATCAAGAGAAGTGCCAACAATATACACCAGAAATCCATTAAGGATTTTCGCATATACGCTCTAACTTACATTGTCTTAAATGACTTATTGAAATTAAAGGAATTCAAGTAAACATAGTTTCACTGCTCCAACAACATAATTTGGTTTTGTTTTTTTGTACTGACATTTGATTCTGTACATCAAATTGAAAGATGTGAGCTATGTATCAACTATGTCAAAGCAGACTTCACTAGAACACATTACCCAGGTACCAAATAGGGTCAGCCTCGGTCCATGGAATAATGGATCAGTGAAACACTTTGCTGATGGCCTGCTTCTGTTTGCAACCATCAGTCATTTTAGTCACCTCTTCAAGCATGAAGTTGTGAAGTATTGGGAGATTTTGACAGATACAAATTAATCATAAAATAATTAATGATAAATCTCGCACCAACATCTTTCAGTCAGTGTGTAAATGTTGACAATATAAAGAAGTAAAGTCAGAAATATTCCAGCTACACCTATATGAAGTCAAGAATTGGTTTGGAAGCAACAAGTGGTGCACATACATAAGCATTGGCAATGATCAAAGCAAAACATATTGCGCCCTAGCATCCCCACTGGGGTCAACATTCATTGAAATACTGAAAGGATGTCGGATGGTAGATACAGAAATAAATGTACAAATTAGTCATTAATGTGTCAAAATATACAAATAAATATGTAGGTGTACAAAACAATGAGAAATGTGTCACCAAATCTCTGACTGAGGATGTTTCCATACCTGATCTCTCTCTGTCTCCATGATCTTGATCTGCTCCTGCATACTCTGAACCTCCTCCAGCAGGATCTCCTGGTCATGCTGTAACCGTGACGACGTCGCCTCCAGCTCTTCATTCTTCACCACCAACTTATCTCTTTCTTCCAGCAACTTGGTAAACTCCCCAACCTTCCCTGATAAATTAATTGCACAAGTCTTCCTCTCTAAGTCCTCATTCTCCTTTACAACCTTCTTGTACTTCTCCTGCATCTTCTCCAGCTCATGCACCAGCTTCTTGAGGTCCTCATGAAGGGCATTACCATCAGACAACAGAAACTCGTTCTCCTTCACAAGTTCATCTTTCTCCTGAAGAACCCTTTCAAACTCTATCTGCAGCTGCTCCTTGTCAGTCTGAAGCTGGTCAAAGTCTGACTGGAGATCATCCCCAGCTTTTAATATTGCATCAAATGTCTCCCGAAGTTTCTCCAACTCATCAGTCAACACTGCACACTGATCCTGAAGCTGTACATTCTGGTTCTCTAGAAACTCTATCCTAGAATGATCTTCTTCTTTCACTGAGGACCTTTCCTTTTCTTCAATTTGACCATCTTCTTTTTCCTTGGGCTGAGGACTGTCACCATTTTGATCACCCTGAATCCTAGCTTCACTCTGTGATTCCAGATGTGGCTCCACCTTTAGCTCCAACTCTGGCTCCAGCTTCACTTCCTCTCCCTTCTTCAAGTCTTCAAGTTCCTGACTGAGTCGTTTGTTCTCCACAATCAGCTCCTCCTGATTAATGGCCCCGTTCAGAAGTTGAAACTCGGACTTCTCCTTGAACTGGACAAGAGGGAAGAGACATGACAAATGATCAGTTCAGTTTGAGTGTAGTTTCAATCCTCTTTACCATTCTTTCATATCTTTTATACTTTTAAAGAAAAGAAATACATCAGCAACTTCCTACTTTTCACGATATTTTGCCATTCAGGTTATATTGGAAGGAACTCTGCTGCTTGATTAACCTCCGCTCGATACTTATATCACGTGAAGATTTAGACATGACTGGAACAGTGAAAGAGCTTGATGTCTCTACTATAATATCAGTTTTGTCACAATATATCAGGTAAATGTGTGTCGAAAACTCAGACTGCCAACATGATCAAGCTAGGACAGCTGTTGACCCAACTTTATCTTTTAAGTGATGATTTCCACCAAACATTTCCGAGGGTGAACGTTGTAAAATGCTTCAATCATCAAAATCCAGTTAAACTGTGACAGCCTGGCAGTGATAAAAGTCAACAATGATCAATGTCCCTTCACTGATCAACCAATAGAACACCTTCATCAATAAGGGTTTCTTCAGATTTCAATAACTCTGTATGTCGAGTTCACAACAAGCCCAGGAAGATCCAGGCTAGAACAGGTTTTCAGCAACTTGTGCTTGCCATGGGTGTTGGCTGTTGGATCGGGTGATCACCAGGGCTGATGCATGTCTGACCATTATATTGTTCACAGTTGTGTCGATCAATGCTCATGATGTCAGTCAAAGTCTCTTATCTAGACTCATTTATTTACAGACCAACGTCAGTAAGCTGGAATATTGCTGAGTGGAGCATTAAACAACATCAAAGTGACATAAAACTGGACCTCAAACCTGGACCCAAACACAAACTACAATATGATACAAGTTCTTACAGTTAGAATCTCTTTCTGCATGTCTGCCTTCTCTGCCTCCAATTGGAGCACAGCTTGCTGAAGCTCATTGATCTGCTGGTCCTGCTTCATTTCGCCTGGCTCCGACTTCGTCTGGAACAAGTACGGGGGAAGGTTCTCTGTACCCATTGGGGAGACTCTACAAAGACACAGGAAGGAGGAATCAGACACACGGACACTCAACTCTACTCCTGGATCAGTGGCTGGACTTACAGACTAAAATCAAGGCCCTCATAATTGAAATATGAAGATTTAAGTCATTACTAGATTAAAATAAAAGTCTAAAACCTCAAAGTCCACGAGACAACCCTCATTTCTAACACTGCCTCGTAACAGTTATCTCCCTTTCACTAAATTCTGTGCATGTAGTTATGTTATAATTTAAACTGTTGAAAAGGTATGCAAACTATTAACCAATCAAATGGTAAATCAAAATGAGATGAGCCAATCAAGAAGTAACTTTAAATCATATCAGCCAATCACAGGATCAAATCTAGCTCTCTGAAAGTAAATGCCAGTTTGATGAATACTTAATTATTTGTTTGTTGTTTAATGCCACACTCAGCAATATTCCAGCTAGCGGGGTTCTGAAGACTGACTCAGTGAATCTCCACAGCAAATATTGATAATAATATCCATATGAGATTGAAGTAAAATTAGTGAAGAACTTGCAGATTTATTAAACAAACTACCACAAGCATTTTGTGTCACTTTCTACATCATGCATTCCATATTGACATAAATATCAGTACCTTAACACAGTTATAAGCTTAACATGATTCTGTTTCCTGTGCAGACATTTCACTATCAATGATTACACAGAACAAAGTGGTCAAAAGAACATTTGCAAACTTGCGTTCAAGTGCATGCGTTCTCATGCAAAAATAAATAGATCTGAAATGCCCACAAAACATTATTTTGTGACAATACCTTTCTACATCATTCAACAAAACTGTGACGTAAAGTGAAAATATCTTTGTGTCATGGTTGATTACATGAATGAGTGATGTTCCACCATTTTGAACAGTTCTCCAGTTATAGCATGAAATGTTGGCTTGAAAAGCCCAAACTGATGCTGGTCTAACAGCCTTTACCACTTCAGAGGAATCCACTAGCATGGGTAGAGTACTGATATGGCATGATCCTATTCTGGGTGAAACGGGATTCAAACCTATGATCACAGAGTTCTAACAAACCCACAGCCTCATGTTATAGGACTATTACTCAGGATGAAGAAGGATAGGAACATGCCGATATCCTGCAGTCTGGTCATGCTAGGAAGTAATGGCTCAGTGAAACTACATGCTCTACTGAACATCAAATCAAACAATGGATACCTCATACATCTAAATTATCCTCCCTGAAAAGAAGAATATGTATAGAGTAAAACATATAAATTTAAGTTTTCATTTTGTAGAAACAAAACACTTTCAGCATTGTTCATAATCCTCAGACACTCTGTTTACAGACAAACACTTTTTGTATGAACACATTCTTCAAAAGACAAGACAACATAACAATCCTTAAACTTGCAAGTTTTCACAAAAACAGTAGGTAAGTTATTCTATGTGTGTCCAAAAGGAACAATTACATTTATTGTTAGTAATTGTTAGTAAACTAACCTCTGGATTATGGTTGCCTTATTCTGTGGTTTCCACAGACACATACAGAATGAAGTGAAAATTTTTAACACTAAGTCATAGCTATCCCTTGTGGTATGCCCTTCCAACTGACAGAGTTACCTCCCCCTGACCTAGATGTCACTGTATAGTAGTTTGAAAATCCTCACAAATTTTATGAATACAGTTTACAAAACACTTATCTTCTAGAGGAAAGGTGGGGAGGAAGGGCGGGACCTATACCCCATAATCCAGAGGTAAGTTTACTAACAATTACTAACAATAAATGTAATTGTTCCTAATTGAGGCGTAAACATTCCCTCTGGATTATGGTTGCCTGAATCCCACATACGGATGGAGGGCTATCCCTAGAAGAATAGTCCTGAAGCATACCATACCACTAGTGAGTTATTCTCCATGATCATAATCCTCTAAGGATAACTATGACTTAGTAGTAAATAATTCACTGGTTAAATATAATATTGGATCATTGTCCACCGGACTTCTGTCCAAATATTGAGTAGTCTCTAATTATCAATCGAATTATACTACTCTTAAGATGAATTAATATTGATAATTTCCAATTGACAACTTCCCCCGAATTCAGTCATCTCATGACGTCACTTTCCATTTATGACGTCACTTCTGGTCAATATCCGGTCTATGGTGTTACTTCCGGTCTATGACGTCACTTCCGGTCTGTGGCGACACTTCCCGTCTATGGCGACACTTCCCGTCTATGACGTCACTTCCGGTCTATGACGTCACTTCCGGTCTATGACGTCACTTCCGGTCTATGACGTCACTTCCGGTTGATTCCCCAAAACCTTAAGATTAATTCCGTAATAATTAGAGTCTACTCCCTTTCAATACTCAACCACCACCTGAGTTCGGTTAGTATCTATAATAGGGATAATCGTAACTGTGATCTACCTGATAAATACTTCTGTCTCTATATCTTCTCTCCATCATCGTATAATCCAGGTGTAACATGCTTGACACATGATCCAATCCCTGATACTAATCACACACACAAACACACACACACACACACACACACACCCCCACCCCTCCTTTAATAGGTACTAGGCAGAGGAAAGGTGTTGTGCCGCCAAAAATTTTGGTATCCTGGAACTGGAAGCTGTAGCATTGACAAGTAGAAAACCCACCTTTTATGGAGAAGAAATGACAATGAATTTCCTACATAGGTTTGGAAGACTTCTGGAGAGACTACAGAATTAGACATAAAGCCAACTTAGGGAAGATTGTAGGACTAGAGAACCACTGCTAGTCCTTGTATATCTCAAACAGAAGCGATTGCTGATCTGTAGTCCACCATAGTACTGTGTTTCAGTGTCTTAACGTCACTGAGAAAAAAGTAGAAAACCGCTAAGAATCGTTGAGATAGCCCTGAATCTGAATTCCCCTCAACATAAAAAATTGTAGGAGCGATATCATAACAATGAAAAATATCCAGAAATTGTTGAAACAATTTCCTCATTGGATTGTTCTGGAAGATTCGTATCTCCTGTCAAGAGGTGAAATGGTACTATAGCTGCCGAATGGTCTAACAAAATCACTCGAGTGTGATTGGCATCGGAAAACTGCCTGAAAAACGACATCCAAAGAGGAGTGGGCAAGCATCCTCCGTGGGCTGACATGACCACCATGGAATCTTGATGCATTGCCATATAATCCTCAAACCCTGGGTGAGGAAGCTACCCGATTCCCAAGACAAGACAACTGCCGTATGAAAAAGATATCGATCTAGTATGCACGGTCGAAAACCTAAAACTCCCTAGGACAAGGAGTAACGTGACGTACATATGAACGAAATTTTTGGATAATTTCGAGGATAGGTGTGAGAAATCCCTATCAATTTGAAGCACTGGCGAGGAAAAACAACCCCATCCTATCAAGGTTGACATGGGCTTGTCTATCCATACCCCTAGCCAAGGATGCTAAACCTTCATATTTGAAATATCGTGACTGAATAGTCCAGCCACTTTGTACAGTGAAGGCAGACACGAAATCACGGAATAATTTCCCACATGGTGCATAAAACGCTTACAGCGCATCTCCAATGGCGCGTCATATTTTTCAAAGAACGTACCTTCATAGAAAAAGATATTACAATTCAATGAGCCGTTGATTAAACCCATGATTAAACTCATGTCCCCGTAACACTCTGAGAACCTAACAACACGATGTTACGGCGTCCCATACAATGTATTAGCGATTTCGGCCAATCAGCGTCATTCAGTCCGCAGTAAATACTATTTATCAGCCAATGAAATAATTCGTTATATTTTAGCTTACACAAGGTCTAAGCTGGTTCCCAAGCTGGTTTCCGGCTCCCTTTGCGCTCGCGAACTTGCGCCACCTTGCGTATATTGCGATAAGCGAGATGGGGCCCAGCGTAACACATGGTCGCAAGCATGGCAGAAGTTGGTAGACCAAACGGAAGATGCCATTAGCGTGTTTAGGGAGATGAGGGTGATGAAAAATTAAACTAACGACGGAATACACCTTGCAAGATCCGTCAGAAAGCAGAGGGATAAAAGGCACTTGTTAGAACAATAAATGTGCCCTATAACACGCCTTTTCCAGGTACAAGGCACATGCCCAAGGTGTTGACATGTTACCTTTTATTACCCCTGAAAACCCATGCTGCCAAGAGGCGCGAGAAAATTGAATAGCCACATGAATTATCCCACCAGGTACCCAGGTACCCTGCTTGGTTATATCGAGGCAATTTGAATAAACTCAGTTGCCTGTATTCAGTGACTGGATATCAGTCATGTTTCCAACCTAACGGTATATCGCCCGTGCCTCCCGTTGAGCGCTCAGCTGACAGTGCATTCTGGCAAGAAAATGCACGTGTCATCTCCTTATCTGATCCATTCACCTGGTCGTCACCTGGTCCGACTCTTGTTACCTGAACTGCTGTTGCCTCGTGGGACAGCGGATTGATTTTGAACCGTGGCCTCGAATATAGCCGTGGTGTTAGCAGTAATAATGATAATATTACTGAAAAGTTATATATCGCGAAAACCAGTGCGAAAACCAGCGCTACAAGTGAGGTTTGAGTTAATAGTACAATGAAAGAGATGCGTTGAAAGATGTGATCTGAACGCAATAAAACATGGAAACAGTTTATAGCGTGGAACAGTCTATTCCACAGTGATGGCGCGCAATCACTGAAAGAGCATTCTCAATAACAGGCCCAGGCAGTCTGTAAGAAGGAGTGTTAAATAAGAATTGCTTCCAGATCGTAGTTGTCTGGGTGGTGGAAGCGGGTTAGCCATTCACTTATATGATAGATATTTGGTGCCATGCCATTAAGACTCTTGTATGAGATACAGAGTACCTTAAACAACTGTACCGGGTTGTTTGGAAACCGTTGCCGTAGGTAGATTCCCATGGAACGGATGAGAAAAAAACAACAAAAAAACGAAATAGTAGACGAAGTAATAGGCCCAGATGACGAAAGTGTATATCATTGTTTACCACGCCAAGTGGAACAGATTGTCGAGTGAAGACAAGATCGACAACTACCTAGCTCAGAGTTTGTCGTAGGCATAAAAAATTAGGAGTCATAATGACTCTCAAGTGATATATGCGAAGGAGTCATGGATATGTTTTGGGAGTAAACGTCATTTTGGAACTTCCATCAAGACATCAATGTTGATTGCTCCACTGCTGGCACCCTTATATCTATCCCGCTGAAGGTAGATATCTACCGAGAGTTGAGAAGTGAGAATTTCAAATGCCGTTTCACAAGTGATAAAATATCACATTATTGAAAACTTCCAACATATAGTGATAACTGGTTTCGAACCTGCAACCATTTGCTCTCTAACATGGCGGTTTATCCACTAGGCTACGAAGGATCGCTTGAATGGGGAAGAGATGTCTCGGGAGGTCCCTCTACTTAACATAAAGGGCGACTAATAGAAACAGGTGGTCAGGCTCGCTGACTTGGTTAGCACAATAAGTCATCGTATCCCAATTGTGTAGATCGATGCTCATGTTGTAGAACACTTGATTGTCTGGTCCAGACTCGATTAATTACAGACCGCCGCCAAAAGATGGAATATTGCCGAGTGAAACGGAAAACTTAACTAGCTCACTCTGTGGTTGATATTCGACTTCCCACGTATAAACTAAAGAGTACCTCAGCTGCCTAAACTATGGCTCTTGCCGGCGTCATACGAGTTACTATGGCCGACGATTCCGTGGATGGCACCCGGTCACGTTCGGCCTGCGACTCCGACCGCACCATGCGGAAATAAACGATTGCCTGCCAAGCGGACTTACTAATAGTAGGGTCAAACGCAAGCGGTTGAACCCCCGGGACTGACGGCAGGACCGCATGCGGCTTGTGCCATGGGTATAAGCAACCTGAGCCGAGATATATCCCGTTATGCCATGCCATGCCACCGATCCGCCGGACTACCCGTGGCTACGGGAGACGGCAGCTGGTGGACAGCCGTGAAGCCCGTGTCTCCCGTAGCCGGTACGGTTGACTGGGACGATCCTATACGAGTGGGCCTCTTTTGAATAATCTTGGGTAATGCATTAAGTGAAGTCGCCTTGGAGAGGTTCAAATTGTAAGAATCCAACGCCGACTTAAGTGCCGATGAATGAGGAAGAGATAGCTTTGGAACCCTTTCCGGCGGCAGACATCCTGACGATCCCAGCTCCACTGGTAACTCCCCGTTCCGGCTCCTCAGGCTGTGGCGGGACCGTGCTAGGATAAAGTCCATGGATTAATACAACCTTTTCCCTAAGAGACCATCCAGGAACAAAATCTTCTGCCGAAGTATCCATAGGCTGGACTGTCAATAATCCCTCCTTCATAACGAATTCTGGTTGAGAGAGAGAATAAATAGAAGTAGCTTCCGAATCCGAGAGGTCCGGTACAAGCGGTAAAATCGGTGGCTTATCAGTGTCAAAATTATCCATGGCTCCCGTGGAAAACCCGCTTGGCACGTGGCTACTGGACTGCTGGTCCTGGATACCGCTAACCCCCGTGGCAGCCGTGGCTCGTTGATTAAACCCAAGGTGGGAGACGCAAGCCGAGGGCATGGAGTCAGTCCCGCTGGGATAAGACTGCAGCACATTCCCCGCGTGGGATAAGGTAGCAGGTTTTGAGTGACTGGGATCAAGCATGACCGCCTTACTCCCAGGGACAAGGGACACGGCTTGTTTTGCCTGGAGCGCAATTAAAGCCTGCCTGGGGTCAGCCAGGTTGACCCCGTCCCTGGCTTCTCCCCCTGTGGGGAACGGCCTTCTGATCCGGTCGTAAGGTGATACCCGGCTTTCCCAGGTAGAGCACCCCGAGTTTCACAGAAACTGACTCTTGCCCCGGCTCTTGCCATCGCCAACCCAGTCAGTGCGACCACCGGTCGCCTTGCCGTACATAATGCCATCATGAAACAGTTTTTGTAATGCATTCATCTTGGTCTCATTCCTCATTTCCATATCATACATGGACTGACTAACTGAGGCTTGCAACTCTGATTTAAACGATGCAAATAAATCCGAGATAGCAGAAATGTCCAAATGAGATGCATCCGATTTAGATCTAGATTTGGATTCTGTGAAGATGGCGGGGACCCCCGAAGCGGATTTTACTTTGCTAGCCTCCGACGACGGGGAGCTCTTACGTTTCTTAGTCTGAGACCTTGCCGAATCCATACTTAACCACTCAACCTCTGATAATTCTGAACACAGAAGGCAGCGATCTTGCAAGGTACAAAGATTACCAGTAAAACAAGAAATGCAGAGAGAATGGGGGTCTAATCCGACATGAACTTCTGACATTGCACGCACTTATTCTTAGCCATAGCTTAAGTTAGACAAAGGAAAAAGGGCGGGAAAATATATATCAAGTACAAACGTAAAATAATATAAAATACGATGTCCAAAGGACTAATGTCGACAACACTAACCTATATAGGGATGGATCAGTGTTGAAAAACAAGCTGATAGAAGTCAATTTTCACTCCACTCTATACACGTGTACAGTGTATACCATACAGAAAATTTGTGAGGATTTTCAAACTACTATACAGTGACATCTAGGTCAGGGGAGGTAACTCTGTCAGTTGGAAGGGCATACCACAAGGGATAGCTATGACTTAGTGTTAAAATTTTCACTTCATTCTGTATGTGTCTGTGGAAACCACAGAATAAGGCAACCATAATCCAGAGGGAATGTTTACGCCTCAATTTCTGAATGCCTAAGAAAGAGAAAAACATTACTTGTGCTGTCAGAAGTGCCAATGTTTTTTTTGTATCTACAATGAAGAAGGTTTTGGGAGAAAATTGTATATATAATTGATATGAGCTGCAAGCACCAATGACAGCAGTGAGACCTTGACCTTCACAGAGTAATGAGATAATCTCCAGCAGTATTGAGTACACCAATGAGTGTATTGAGACCGTGACCTTTCCAAGAGTGACATCTATACATGTACTGAATGGACCAAAGACAGCAATGAGACCTTGACCTTTAATCTGATGTGTTTATTTCGTAAGGGGGCCCAAGGCCCATGATACAGATATTGAGACCTTGACCTTTAATAGACTAAACTAAAAATCTCCACATACATACTCAATTGTCTATTAACAGTATTGAGATCTTGATCTCTCACCTGCATTTTGTCCTTGAGTTGGTCATTTTCCTGTGTTAGCGTCAGAATCTGGGAGCGAAGCAAAGCCAACATCTGCTTGTCATCTGGAGAAGATCGACTACGTCGTCTGCGGGCTAGAATTGATAACATATATAAGAATTATGGTTCAAGATTAAATTACCGCTAAGTATTTTTTTCTCTACATTGACACACCAGGCTTCAAACACAGCAAATTTACACATTCAAATTCTCCAGTATAAAATCTGCCACAATTTCCCAACATACATATGTCAATGCCCTTTCCTCTGAAATTTGATTAATGTTGACAAGAATAAATATATATATTGGTCATGTTCTGTATAATTTCTTGTTACTACTAACACACTCACTTGGAGAGTCAAAAGATTCTTCATCACTGTCCCCCAAGCTATCTCCTGGGACGGACTCACCCTCACTAGGACTTACTCACACACTCATTTGTAGAGTCAAACGATTCTTCATCACTGTCCCCCCAGCTATCTCCTGGGACGGACTCACCCTCACTAGGACTTACTCACACGCTCATTTGTAGAGTCAAACGATTCTTCATCACTGTCCCCCCAGCTATCTCCTGGGACGGACTCACCCTCACTAGGACTTACTAACACACTCACTTGGAGAGTCAAACGATTCTTCATCACTGTCCCCCCAGCTATCTCCTGGGACGGACTCACCCTCACTAGGACTTACTAACACACTCATTTGTAGAGTCAAACGATTCTTCATCACTGTCCCCCCAGCTATCTCCTGGGACGGACTCACCCTCACTAGGACTTACTAACACACTCACTTGAGAGTCAAATCGTCCCCCCCCCTAGCTATTCTTCAAGCGATTCTTCATCACTGTCCCCAGCTATCTCCTGTGACAGACTCACACTCCCTAGGACTTACTAACACACTCACTTGGAGAGTCAAACGTTTCTTCATCAGTCCCCCCAGCTATCTCCTGGGACGGACTAACCCTCACTAGGACTTACTAACACACTCACTTGGAGAGTCAAACGGTTCTTCATCACACTGTCCCCCCAGCTATCTCCTGGGACGGACTCACACTCCCTAGGACTTACTAACATACTCACTTGGAGAGTCAAACGATTCTTCATCACTGTCCCCCCAGCTATCTCCTGCTACTTCCTGGGACGGACTCACCCTCACTAGGACTTACTCACACACTCACTTGGAGAGTCAAACGGTTCTTCATCACTGTCCCCCCAGCTATCTCCTGGGACGGACTCACACTCCCTAGGACTTACTCACACACTCACTTGGAGAGTCAAACGATTCTTCATCACTGTCCCCCAACCCACCCCCCTATCTCCTGGGACAGATTCACCCTCACTAGGACTTACTAACACACTCACTCGGAGAGTCAAACGATTCTCCATCACTGTCCCCCCCAGCTATCTCCTGGGACGGACTCACCCTCCCTAGGACTTACTAACACACTCACTTGGAGAGTCAAACGGTTCTTCATCACTGTCCCCCCAGCTATCTCCTGGGACGGACTCACCCTCCCTTGTACTGGACTCACTCTGAAAAGACAAAAACTAGACAGTTTACAACGATGCTGCATATGTCACATGACTTCTGTCTCAACACTCCAAGTTCTGCTTCACAAACAGTTTGAAGCACTACATGATGCTGTCTCCTGGTGCAATAAACATGAATGTAGAAGACACGAGACATTCACTGACTCAACAACTAATGACTAACTTTGAATGCTAGATATCTTGAAAAGGAGGGAGAGAAAAATAGCCATTGACCCAACCTGCCATTACAAATCAGAAAGGGCAAAACTATAACTTTCTATACTTCCCCAAGAATGGACATAATGATCTGGGTGTGTAAATGGTGAAGCTGATCTAAGTTCTATGACAAACCAACACAAAAAGATAATTGGAACTAGGTCATTCATCTATGCTAAAAACAGCCAAAAATACATATCTGAAATTGAAAATAACATTCAAACCACATATAACCACTACATATAACCGCTAACAAAATTAAACATAACAATAGCTTTCACTGACTCTCTCCTGACATGAGGTCAAGCTGATCTCACAATGACCTGACAATCGGTTAATTTGACATATCCAAGGAAGGCACAAATATCTTGGCAACAGCCCATCTTAAGAGAGTAAGATCACAGACATTATGCATGTAACAGTGGTATGTAACAAAGTGCTTGTTCCCCTGTGGGAGTACAAACCTCACGCTTTATCCTCAATCAAAATCTGGGCAGAACACAAGACAACGACTGATAGACTGTGCGATACACTTAGTGTTTATGCTCATTTGTTGCTAACAGAAACTCAGATCTATTTCCTGGATCTTGATTACTTTCGTGAATATCTTTCTCTCAAAGTTTTCTGTTTTTTTAACCAGCAAAACAAATACTCTGAACAGATACATCTTACAAGGAGACACATATACTGATAGTGAATGTACACAGAGTGTCCATGTAGGAAGGAAGAAGGCAATTAGTCTTAATGCAATTATGCTGTCGATTTGGTGAATAGGACCATACCCGAGCAGTGTGTATGAAATCTGATGCAGTCAGTTTGTTCACAGTGAAGGCACTGACCAATGCTTTGAGTGAGTGAGTGAGTGAGTGACTGAGTGAATGAGGATTTACCAAGACAGATATTTCATAACAAGAAGCAATTGAAAGGAAGGTATTTTATCATTAAGGAGACCTCAGGTCCATGGATGAGTGAGTGAGTGAGTGAGTATGCTTTTACACCGCTCTTAGTATATAATGGATACCTAAGATAGTTTCTGTAAACAGATTCACTGTATGAGTGAGTGAGTAAGTGTTTTATGCAAGTGAGTTTAGTTTTAAGCTGCTTTTAGCAATATTCCAGCAATATCCCGGCGTGACGGGAAAATGCTTTAACCACTAGGCTACCCCACCACCCCGCAAAACCAAAATGCCTGTGTAAGTACACACCAGGCAACCCAATGGCTGTAGCATGAACAAAGTTCCACATCTAAGAGTGAATGATCCTTAGAACGGTTGGTTCTCAAACACTGGCACTAGCTATAGAGACCTACACAGAATCCCCACAAATCCCATGTTACTCTTGGTAACAACAGAAGTTAGCCTTCAGTTGGCCTCAAACAGAGTACCGAGGGACCTGCTCTAGCTTAGAATCCCCACAGATCTAATATTACTCTCAGGTAACAGTAGGAAGTTGGTCTTCTGTTGGTCATAGATTGAGTTTCATACTCAGCAGCCATTTTGACCATGAGATCCCAATTTTCCAGGGCTGCCTCACACATCGCGTATGCTTGTGCAAGGGTCCAGTTTGAATGGGTTGTGTTTAGGTGAGGTTTTATGAGGCTGGGAGTGAGTGAGTGAGTGATTTTTGTTTTACACCGCACTCGGCAATATTCCCGCTTATGAGGCTGGGAACAAAATTTTGTTTCCATCCTGCATTGACAGCAGTTAGCAGAAATGCAGTAAGTGAGATACAATAAATTAACACTGTAATCATGAGCATCATGATGAGTGAGTGAGTGAATGAGTTTAGTTTTACGCCGATTTTAGCAATATTCCAGCAGTATCACGGTGGGGGGACATCAGAAATGGGCTTCACACGCATCATGATGAACATGCAGTAAATCTCTGTACCATGTCTTTAAGGCTGTTACTATAAATGACCGGTGCTCACCTCTCTGCTGACATTATGGTCGGACAACGTCTTGTTCTGTACAGACAGGACCTGGTTTTCTTCAGACAGACTCTGGTTGTGGAGTGTTAGATTCTGGTTCTGGTCAACAAGTTCTTGGTTCTTTTCTTGTTCTTTGCGGAGAATATTTTTTAAGTTGTTCAGCTGAAAGCCACAAAATACTCCACTATAATGACATATAAAGAGTATAAATGAAGACCAAAGGAAACCGAACAGATATGACAAAGATTTCATTTACAAGATGCATAGATCTGAATATGAAATTAGGATGGATCAGGATGTGTTGAAAGTGTATGAAATAAACTATAAACAATCTCACCTCATCTTCAATTTCCTGGGGAATTTCCATCTGCCCCTGTCAAAAAACACTTATGTATAGGTTAAAGTAATAATAATACTTCTCACATGAGCTTCTTACTCATGTATGGTAAAAGCATGGCGAAGAAACTGATGTCATTAAGTGGACAGGAAGACACTGATAAAGAGTCAGAACTGATATGTTTAAATACACATTCAGATGTCTGCCTTGTCTGTCATACAGACCTTTAAACAAATATACCCCATGCAGTCCATGAAATTCTATAATATGTGGCAAGTTCAGACTCCACAGTTTCAGGAAAATGAAGAAAGTCTCTGGGCTATTTTTATTATATCTTGAATATATCTATAATGGAGAAATTTCTGAGACTAGATCTGAGTCTAATATCTGCCGAGAACATCAGGGAATACCTTGCCACAGCTCCCACATAAGCAAAATGAGCTGTATCCAAAGGTTTTCAGGTTTGAATTCACAAAGGTATGATTGCATTCTGACAGTGATTTTAGGACTCAATGTATACAGAAGACGTAGACATACAATAACAGACTCCAAATGTGAAGACCATCAATGCTGATTTAACCAACACCTTGGTCATAGGAGAGGCAAAGCATCAATAAATGGCTTTGTTTCACATCTCTTTTAGCAGCCATGTGGCAACATCACGAAGTGAAGCCCAGGACCAACAACATCACAGCACGAAGTGAAGCCCAGGACCAACAACATCACAGCACAAAGTGAAGCCCAGGACCAACAACATCACAGCACGAAGTGAAGCCCAGGACCAACATCATCACAGCACGAAGTGAAGCGAGGACCAACAACATCACAGCACGAAGTGAAGCCCAGGACCAACAACATCACAGCACGAAGTGAAGCCCAGAACCAACAACATCACAGCACGAAGTGAAGCCCAGGACCAACAACATCACAGCACGAAGTGAAGCCCAGGACCAACAACATCACAGCAAGGTGAAGCCCAGGACCAACAACATCACAGCACGGTGAAGCCCAGGACCAACAACATCACAGCACGAAGTGAAGCCCAGGACCAACAACATCACAGCACGAAGTGAAGCCCAGGACCAACAACATCACAGCACGAAGTGAAGCCCAGGACCAACAACATCACAGCACGAAGTGAAGCCCAGGACCAACAACATCACAGCATGAAGTGAAGCCCAGGACCAACAACACAAAAGTCTCAGACATTCATCACACGGAGAAAATGTGGAAAAACTTCTGTGACCCTGTTCCTTCTCAACAAGAACGTCCCTGATTTATGTTAAGAAAAACCCAATTTGACTAGGTAGACAACCCCTCCAAACCCTGGACAACAGTGAATGGCATTCAGCAGGCTTACAATTACATACATGATCACACACTCATATCATATATACTACAGGACATAGGCAAATAGTGAAACATATCAGTAATGTCGAAATTAGATGAAATTCAGACTTAACACAAGTTGATGCTGTGATTGTTACCTGCTGTGCCATGGCAGCCATCCTGCTTTTAAGTGCATCCATCTTGTCATACAGCTTCCTGTTCTCAACTGTGAGGTTGTGGTAGTCTTCATTCAACTGCTCATGCTCCTCTTCCAGTTCCTGAAAAGAAACATTGACCTTGGTTAGCTGAGCAACTATGATGCAAAAGTACTTAAATATTATCATTTAACATCAGTTATTTCAGTGATACTTGACCCAGTCAAAGGTTATAATTTTATGTGATGGGTTACACCTGTCCAAGGATCATGATCATGGACAATCAGGGATTCAAACCATGATCTGATGGTCCTGGCCTGACCAAGGGACACAACTCTGGACATGGTAATGAAGTGGCTCAAGTCACATGGCCCAACATGTCCTTAAAGGTAGTGAGATAGAAGCTATGAATACACCAAGACCCTTCGCCAAGAAGAATGAAGATATTATTTGCACATAGATCTTTAGCTTCATTGAAAATCAAAAGTATAAAGTTATTCATACACTTATTTGCATGTTAGGTCAGTCTTAAGGAAGACATCACTTGATACTTGAACAAAGTCTGGACTTCATAGACTCAGGTCTTCAACACTATAAAACTACTAATATATACAAGATGAGGTTTTGATGTTTGCTGGTGCAAGTCATACTCTCATACCATGAAACATTTGTCATAAGTAGCTTCTGTTTAATTGTTGTCAAATGCCACATTCAGCAATATTCCAGCTATATGGTGCCAATCTATAAATAATCATGCCTGGACCAGACAATCCAGTGACTGACATGTTGAGCAACAACCTGCACAAGGTAACAATAAAGGTTAAACAATGTAATACTTAGATCATGAATGCTGGAATTATGGTGTAGCGCCAATGGGATCACCAGCTGTCTCAATGACTCAATGAGCTCTCAATTCACTTAAACAACCCTCCAGTCAGCATGGTAATCAATACCAACAAACATAATGTAGCTGTAATATTGAGAGCATGGCATATACAACATTCACTCGTCAGGTTACTGAAGGTGCAACTTGTGGTCCAATAACATTATAACGTGCAAAACCCTTTAAATGCAGCACCACGTGCAGGTGAGAACATGTACAAAATCAAACCAAATATACAACTCAAGAACACACAATTATTTTCATATGACTACCATTAATCTATCACACGACAAATAAAAAATAGTCATGTGAAAGAGCTTATCTGCTCCTTGAATTCTTGTGAGTAGTATATGTATAAGATGGTGTTGGAAAACTCAATACAGTTGAACCATACATACACTCATTTCATAAACTACTATACATAACTTTCAACCTCAACATCCTATCACAAGGTAATGATTATTTTGTTACATGTGGGAGACTGCATGAAGCAATGCTACTTGTGTTGATTTTGGACATTGATATGTGTTTGTTCTTTTTTGTGTGTAAAATTCATGTCTCAAACAAAAACATGATTATGATAAGATCAAACCAGTAATTCTTGCTACTCTGTAATTGTCTTCACAGATTTCCCAGCATATCTCATGACATTGGTCATGGTTCCACACACTCGTATATGTAGGCACATAACCCACCAGTCTCCTTCTGTCTTCTCTATTACAGAGTTCTACATCTCTTAAGAGTATATGATATTTATTCAATTTTAAAAATGTTTATCATCCAAAATACAAATATACAATATCATCAAAACAATATTTTCAAGCTGATAAAAATACAGATCTTTCTGTCATCATTGCCAGCATGGAATAAACATTCCATACAGCATTATCTGGCGGCCTTCTTCCGTGACAATTACAGGAAAACTATATTTCATATGCCTCACAGCATGACATCCTGTGCAATATCCGGAAATGTAGCCTGACACTATAATCTGCTTATATATCATGTTCATTTGATTAGATTAATTAGCCCCCTGCTAATTAATGTTAAACTGTCGTGGATGCCTGCCAGGCTGTTTGATGGATGTAGATATACATGTGAACACCCTGCATGACATGTTCTTTCAACAACAGTGGGTCTATAACAGCAGGATTTACTGAAGGGAATCAACTGGAGATTTCCTCCTCTGTGTTTGACATGGGGCTATCATGTCGCAGCCAGCCGGGGTTCTGGAAATTTACATTAATAAACAAATATCACTTCTCTTTGGAAATTGTTTAAGATCTTTCTTGATAAGGTCAGCCCATTTTACTTTCCTCACCATGATCATCGCTTAGAACAAAAATGTCAATTGTCAAGAGATCTACATAAAGTAAACATCCAATTTTTGTGTGTAATATCAGGATTCTGAAAACCATTTATCAATGTTTCTTGAACACTAGGGTAGTTGTTTTATTTTCTTTGAGTTTTACAAGATGGGTTCTTAAATTTAAAAACACTTTGGTACCTTTACAATATTTAGAGACTGTTCATTTATCCATAATTCCACTTAATAATGGTCTTTTCTGAATTCTATTCATACATTTTATAACAAATCAATGTACTTATGTACAACATACACATAAACATGATAAAGATGTTTTGTCTGTTTGATAAATAGTAAAATATTACAGATAAATGAGTTTAATAGCTGTATAAAGGGAAGTGTTAGTACATGCACAAACTTCCAATGTTAGGTGTTTGTTGAAAATTAAGTATGGTAACTTCGAAAGAAAACAGCAGAAATTTTACCTGTACTGTTTCACAAAATAGGAAATGGGCAGTGCCTCCAGTCAAATCATATTTGTGATAGATCAACAATTTCATTTTGAAAATACTAAACATAACATTTTTTCAAAGGTAACTTACAATCACAATGTTAGTGTGACAAAGTGCATGGAATACTGGGGCAAAGGTTCTCAAGACTGAGGGTCAGATTATCAGTAATGCTGTTGCTATAGCAAACAAACGTGGGTAAAACTATCAGACCTTGATTGTTGTAAGCATGGTAGGAAACCACTAAATGGATGAAGAGGTCCGGCTTGTTTGCATGTCATAATATCCTAGTTCCATGGATTGATGCTTACAATCTCCATCACTCGACGGTCTTATCTTAACATCTATTTACAGACTGCTCTCCTGCAGCTTGACTATTGCTGAGAGTAGCAGAATTTCCCAGCACACTCAGTGATATTCCCACTACACAATGCCACTCTGTAACTAATAAACATGCTTGATCCAGTCAATCAAGTGATTGATATGAAAACAAGCATAGCCTCCTGGGGCTGATCTAACTGTAAATCAAGCATAGGCTCCTGGGGCTGAACTAACTGTAAATCAAGCATAGGCTCCTGGGGCTGATCTAACTGTAAATCAAGCATAGGCTCCTGGGGCTGATCTTACTGTATATCAAGCATAGGCTCTTGGGGCTGATCTAACTGTAAATTAAGCATAGGCTCCTGGGGCTGATCTAACTGTAAATCAAGCATAGGCTCCTGGGGCTGATCTAACTGTATATCAAGCATAGGCTCCTGGGGCTGATCTAACTGTATATCAAGCATAGGCTCCTGGGGCTGATCTAACTGTAAATCAAGCATAGGCTCCTGGGGCTGATCTAACTGTAAATCAAGCATAGGCTCCTGGGGCTGAGTATATCAAGCTGATCTAACTGTATATCAAGCATAGGCTCCTGGGGCTGATCTAACTGTAAATCAAGCATAGGCTCCTGGGGCTGATCTAACTGTAAATCAAGCATAGGCTCCTGGGGCTGATCTAACTGTAAATCAAGCATAGGCTCCTGGGGCTGATCTAACTGTAAATCAAGCATAGGCTCCTGGGGCTGATCTAACTGTATATCAAGCATAGGCTCCTGGGGCTGATCTAACTGTATATCAAGCATAGGCTCCTGGGGCTGATCTAACTGTAAATCAAGCATAGGCTCCTGGGGCTGATCTAACTGTATATCAAGCATAGGCTCCTGGGGCTGATCTAACTGTAAATCAAGCATAGGCTCCTGGGGCTGATCTAACTGTATATCAAGCATAGGCTCCTGGGGCTGATCTAACTGTATATCAAGGATAGGCTCCTGGGGCTGATCTAACTGTAAATCAAGCATAGGCTCCTGGGGCTGATCTAACTGTAAATCAAGCATAGGCTCCTGGGGCTGATCTAACTGTATAAATCAAGCATAGGCTCCTGGGGCTGATCTAACTGTAAATCAAGCATAGGCTCCTGGGGCTGATCTAACTGTAAATCAAGCATAGGCTCCTGGGGCTGATCTAACTGTAAATCAAGCATAGGCTCCTGGGGCTGATCTAACTGTAAATCAAGCATAGGCTCCTGGGGCTGATCTAACTGTATATCAAGCATAGGCTCCTGGGGCTGATCTAACTGTATATCAAGCATAGGCTCCTGGGGCTGATCTATGTATATCAAGCATAGGCTGATCTAACTGTATATCAAGCATAGGCTCCTGGGGCTGATCTAACTGTATATCAAGCATAGGCTCCTGGTGCTGATCTAACTGTATATCAAGCATAGGCTCCTGGGGCTGATCTAACTGTAAATCCCAATGGGGATACACTGTATTCACTGGATGATTTTGTATCAAATGAAAAAAACTTCTGGATTACATTTGGATGAATATTTGAAAAATTCCCAAAATGCTCCTCAACCAACCAAAATACCCCACATACTTCATGCTTCGTCCTCAATCCACAACCTCTTTACTTACCAATCTATTTATTTCATTGACGACATATGTGCTTTTTTGTAACATGAACATGAGGTAATAAAAGTTTGCAGTGTCTTGACCCTTAGCCCAGTTAACTCTTGACCCGAAGGTTGATAAAGGGAGATAACTGTACAACATGGACGGTACAACATGGATGAAACAAACTGGGACAGGGTACAGGGAACAAACCAGTATTCATCAGTTTCAGATGGTACAAACAGAGACATGGTACAACAAGGTATATAACTGCATACTGGTGGAACAATTAACATACATCCTCCATTATCAAGTGTATTGTATCTCCATTCTGATAAACACTTTGAATCAATTCAATTCTATAGCTTTTCCATAGCACAGCCATCCAATCAAATTGCCACCAGCAGGCATATTTCTGTGATACGTTAGCAGTAGGAAAGATGGAGATGGGTTTTGTTGAAATAGGTCCGGGGTACGTATGACAGAATGGAGATATTGTTCCCTGGACAAGAGAGGATGCAACACAGAGGGTACAGACTTACTACGTAGACATTCTACTACCTCATTCTGAAAGCCAAGGACAGGTTCCATGCATGATTATACAGTAACTTTAGCAGCATAAGCAATTCATGAAACTATTAAAATAAAATTGTTTAAATTCTTATCAAATTATATTGACACAAAATAGTTTTTACTAATAAACAGATGTATTTTGGGAAAATATTGACTTCAGGGCAGACAAATTTATTTGTTTTTCATATTGTGCTCAGCAATATTGCAGCTATATGATTGCTAATAATCAAGTCTTGATCCGACAGCCCAGTCAATGACTTCACAACATCAATACATTTGGAACACACTGACATGCATCAACCAAGTCGGTGACCAGTCTGATGCCAACATAGTTGCTGCTTACGACATGCATTGGTTGCTACAGGCACACTGTAGCCCACATTGGGGGTTCAATGATTTCAAGCCAAATTAACCAACAGTCCCCACCATCTGTTCTCATTCCTGACTGAAAGCACACTGACCAAGAAACTCAACAGGGTGAGGGGTGTCTGAGGGGTGTTTGAAGACCTAGATGTATCTGTTGGGGTTTCTTCCCATTTCGGCAAATTCAACTTGTTGCTACTCTCCTACAGTAGACCTAATCACAAAATATATGCTACCATCCACATTGACATACCAATGTTATTAAAGGGGTACATGGGTACAATGTGTGATGCCCATGATATGGATGAAATGATGGTAAAAGCAGACTAAATCCATACCCACTCACTCACTGTCATAAAAATCAGACCTTTTATTACAATTATAAATGTCCCTGTAACAAGGTCTGAAAACACCCCAATAGAATTTCATGTCAGATGATCCTTTACCAAACTCTTGTTCCTCAGTCCATCAGATATGTGTCATTGAAAACAGTTTGGCTTTATTTGTTTACATCATTTCAGCAGAAATTTCAATCCCATCCACAAAAAAAACACATAGACCACAAATATACCATTGATGGCACACTCTTTCTCAGTATAGCTGCCATCAGGCCCAGAAATGACTAGTAATAAATAACTTCCACAAGGATTTTACAGCACAGTACTACAAGCTTACATTCAGAACTGCCAGATTCTGAATGTAAGGAGTCAACGGTATTCTGCAGTGCATTTGTTTCATTCAGAGCATACTGCATCCTACACAAGCTTATCTGCATACTGCATCTGAATCACATGTACTGAGAACTTGTAGCCTTAAAATTAACAGACTGAAAGTTCACCTGACGTATCTTCATTTGGTAGTTGTTCAGGACCTCCAAAGAGACACATAGTATATCACAGTATAAGCTTTGACATCAGTGATTCAGTTCACTGTTTAATGCTGGGTATGGTTTGCATGCTACCATTGGCGACAAGGAACTGCCAAGTCATTCCCACAAAAACTGTTAAACTGACCTTGAAAGCCAGAAGTGTCTTCTGATCAGCCATTTGCTTCAAGTCAGTCATTGAGTCTTGCTCACCAGGCAGCCCGCGTGCATCCCATGATTCTGATTGGGTCTTCCTCAATTGATCCTGAGAGAGAGAGAGAGAGAGTTTATGATGAGCCAACACTTTAACCGCTAGGCTAGCCCACCGCTCCCCAATGGATCCTTAACATAAACAGGCAGATCTCAATCAAACCTCAAACCTTCCCACCAGAACCACACTGTCTTCACCAAATCATGACAGTTGACCTCACCAGTATCTGGCTATTTTCCTTGATGCTGTCAGGTGCACTGCCTTGCCTCTCAAAACAAGCACTTCCAGTTAAACATTTGCCAAATGGCTTATGGCTGATCCATAATACATTTGGTACTTTAAAATGTATGACATGGCTGATTATATACTGAAAAAAAAAGGTAAGGCTTATTAATATTTCCAGGGATGTATGTTTGCACTTTATTTAATAAAATATCCACCCAAAATATTCCTGATCCTTAACCATTTATTATATATTGTGATGACAGGGCACATTGCTCATTCTTGAAATGACAGGTCTGACTTGACCAGGCAAGATTACTGCCTTCATGATACAGTTTTGTTTCTAACAACACACACTGACTCCATACCTTTATTCCTTCATCGTCTGTCTCATAGTCTGTTTGAACTTCTCTTCGAGAGGCAGCAGGGGACTCGCTGGCGTCAAAGTCACCAACAATGTCAATCTACAATACACAGAGGAACACATCAATAAAATGAAGGAACTTTATCAATCTCATATGTTCAGATCAGAATCAAGACAATCTTTCTTTTCTAATTTTCCTCAAGATGCTACTCGTCTATGACGTACATGACAGAAACACTCCATCTCAGAGTCTTGCAACAGCACAGGTCCCTGAAGTCCTTTAGTATTATGTGAATCATAAACTCACTGACGTATGAGGTCTGTGGGAAGTAAAACCCACATGGATCATCAGTTAACCCTATCATATTCAGAGACTGGTCAGAAAAACGGCCACATTTATCAGCGACTGAGTGAGTTTAGTTATACCCTACTTTTAGCAATATTCCAATATTCTGCGGACACCAGAAATGGGCTTCACACATTGAACCCACGTGGGTAATGAAACCAGGGTTTTTGGTTGCTGAGCGAATGTTGTAACCACTAGGCTACCGCCCGTCCCGTCTGTAGAACTACTTACGTGATGAGTGAACACTTTAACAACATCACCTCATCTATGGACTTGAGAATCTAATGAATGTACCTGATGAGGAGCCACTGGTGTAGGTTCCGGTTCTGGTTCTGGAACAGGACTTGTTGCAGCATTTCCTGGAGGTTCATGGGAGGAGGTAGCTGCAACACCACAACACAATCTACACTGTGTCTTAAACGATGGAACACAATACCAAAGTTCAACAAGCATTGTCACTAAGGTGACATAATCCCCCGCCGCAAATTATCAAATCAAACTTATAAACAAAAACATGACCAGTCAACCTCTCTTGATATCTTGCTCTTGAGGTGTTCAAACACACACATATTTTCAAGACTGACTTCGACCTTGACATGAATGTCATAGTGTATGAAATATGCAAAAACTAAAGAAATTGCTTTTTGAAAAACAATAAAGGGAAGTCTTGAAAGTCCTTGAAGAAAATCCAGTGAACCTTTCTTTAAATATCTTGCTGACAATTCAGGTTAACATGCTCAAATCTTCAAAGTGTCTCTGTGACCTTGAAAATTAAGTGAAGGTCACCAAAATCGACTGGGCCCTGCGCCTTCCCTAGATAAAGCTTTGTATTGAATATGAAGAAAATCCAGTTAACGGTTCTTGAGATAGCTTAACATGCGGGTAAAATGTTACAGTCCCCTTGTGACCTTGAAATGAAGGTCAAGGTCACCAAACCTGACTTGGACCTTTCTTATACTGTGATGAACCTAGGTACCAAATATGAAAAGAATCTAGAGAACGGTTCTTAAGATATTCCAATTCGTACGTACGGACGGAGCCTATTACTATATCCCTCGCTTCGCGCTAAACGTGCGGCGGGGGATAAAAACATGAAAACATTGAAGATAAATCATTGAAAGGAATCCATTCCATGGTAAATGGCCATGAATGAAGTCATAAACTATCTCTGCTAGTTGCCTGAACATACAGAGATTTATAAGCTTTGAAAAATATCATACACTAATGCACCTGACATCAATATTTCAGCCACATGTTAAATCAAGGATAATAATCTGAGTATTGTCAAGATTCAAACTCACAAGTCAATGGACACAACTCTGCACAATACAAGTATCTGCTATGGTCATCTGGGAAAAAGAAGCTGTACACCTAATGGTAATTCTACTGTGTATCAAACACAAAATATTTGTATTCAACATCACAGTGTTCCCCAACTCACCATTGTTTGCATGTACATCCCATGATGCTCGGGTTGGGGCACGTGCAAATACTTCTTTCATGTCATTATGGCCACTGTTGAGAGCATACGCTAATGCATTGTTTCCTGAAACACATTCAGTGATCACGTTATACCGAACCTGATTGTCCAGAAAGTTGGCTGCAAATCCAACACAGAATGATCACATAACACACAGCCTCTATAATACCAAGACTAATACCAACACTTCACATTTCAAAAACATAATGAACATCAGGGGTGGATCCAGGATTTTGGAGAGGGGGTGGGGAGGTGGGGTGTTGTGTTTGCACATAAATCATGAAGTCCAAAGGTTGGGGGGAAAGGCTCCTTGGGAAAATTTGTGTGTGTGTGTGTGTGTTGCGCATCACCCAATATTCTTCTTCTTTCCCAATACACACCCACAAGCCCACATGCGCACACACATGTGCACACACACGCACACCCACGTGCCCCTGGACATGCTGTTATACAATAGTGGAATCATCACACCATTCCAAGACATATGACCATTTAGTCTGTAGGTTAGGGGCAGTTATCTGTCCAGAGTTGCCAGAAAGCAACCAAAAAGCTGACCATGTGTAAGATTGTAAATATCCTAATTGTTTGCTTATTAATCCTGCACTAGTAACGTTCCAGGTGTAGACCAGACAATCCAGTGACTGACACCATGATTGATCTATGCAACTGGGATATGACGAGATGCTTCAACCAAGTAAGTAAGTCTGAACACTGAATCCTGTTGATGACCTTCAACAACAAACATTGGATGCTAAAGGCTTTTTCTGACATATCATTACCAGTAAACTTCCTCTTATGACCACTTTGGTACCAGTACAGGTGGCAATGTCAAAACAAACATGTCAAGTGTGTGTAATGGGTTTATGCTTCCCTATCAAAGTTCACAGGAAGAGAGCGAGTCTGGGGCCGCTGTACCAAGGCTGTACTGAAGGCTTAGTCCATGGATGTATAGTAATTCTATCCTTTAAAGAGGCAAGTCTCGATAAGCGGACAGTACAGGACCCCAGTCTGTGGGACGGATATATATATTTCTCTAAAATTATCATTTACAAGTAAACTATTCATAATTACCTTAGAGACTTGTGCAAGTCTAAGGGTCAGGGTGCCACAAACTTTAGTTAAATGATGCCATGAAGAACTCATGGAAGAGATAATGGCATACTCTGTTAACAGCCTTAAATATCTTTGAGCAATGCATTGGTGAAAACAGCCTAGAACATGTGCCAAATACAGGAGATCTTAACTAATGATAACACAACAGGAGGAACTCTTGTTGTCATCTTCATAGTTTCTCACTTTATAATCAAGAGCATAATATGCCATTAACTCATTGCTTGGACAAAGATTTTTTGGGTCATAATCATGTTTTAAGATGCAGGAGCAAAGAATACAGAACCTCTTCATTTTCAGAGGCAGTAAAGCTACAATTTCTTGAAATTTTATAAGTTTCCTATCACTCATCACTGACAAGCTAGTGAGAGAGAAACTGAAGAAATATAAGACTGACAAATGTATTGTAGATTCAGCTGTACAACGGATGCATTTGTCTCATAGTCTGTATTTGAGGCAACTCATTGTTTCAGCCATAATAACTGTCACATGTCATATTGTATGACAGTTTTGACCTGTTGTCTCCCGACCCCATCGCTGCTGCTTCTGAGTCATGGCTCTCCAGCCAGAGGGATCATACAGGACTCAGGGTGAATAATGCATAACAATAGACACACAGGCCGGGGTTGGGGTGACATGGGGGGAACAGCTGAATTTCAAAAGGAAACATCTTGACCTGCTTTGTTTTAATTCCATCTGGATGTGTGAATGTCATTATCGTGGACAGTTGCCTGTCTGCACCGAAGGTTAGAAGGGCAAACACAGGCAAACAAGGATTCATCATCTCGCCACTGTAACAATCATATCACTCTTTGATACTCATCTTTTACAAAACATTATCATGACTGAACACTGATATTACTGACAAAGAGATTACTACACAAGTGTCTCTCAGATACCTTTTATCTTATGTTTTGTACGATAAACTAAGTGAGTGAGTGAGTGAGTTTGGTTTACGCCACTTTTAGCAATATTACAGCAATATCACTGCGGGGACACCAGAAATGGGCTTCACACATTGTACCCATGTGGGGAATCAAACCCGGGTCCTCCATGTGATATTTCAGAGAAATGAGTGAAGTAATTTGACCTACACATAATTACTTTCTTACACACCCTAAACTTGTACTATTTTAGCATTTTGTGCCTTCTCCTGACTGCCATGGTGTATTGACACACAGCTCAACTGTCAGGAGTGACGTCATCAGGGCCACTGCTTACTATTCACACCTCAGGTAACCATACACTTAAATGTTTCACCGATATCTGTGGGTGATCACAGAGACAATGATAATGCAATCAATATAAGTCCAAAGAATATTTAAACCTTAAAAAAAAACCCAAACATTTCAATAACATTGTGGATAACAGTTGCTCGATATCAAGCAGCTCCCTTTTCACCAAAAATTGCTTCGTGTTGACAAATATGCATGCTGATTTGAAATCAGAAGCATGTACAACAATAAAACCTTACTCGCTCACAACCAGATCTCGGTAGTGAAATAAGTGGTTGACTCCATGAACATATGAACACAATGAGGGCCAGGGCATACATTTCAACGACCCCATGTCAGCAGGCGCTCAACACATTCAGAGTGCTCTGGAGACCTTTAAGTGAAGTTTCAGACACCACAACCAACTGACAGTGTAGACTTAGTTTACAGAACACGTGAGAGATTCAGTAGACTTTGTTCAAATAACACATGAAAGTGCACACTTCCGTTGTAGTGGAAGCCGGGGTGGCTGAGTGAGTTAGATCACTGACTGTATGTGCTGGACATGCCAGTCTCTGAGAATAGGGGTTTGAATCCTGGATCCTGGATGATACTCAATTTAAAGAATCTGTGCCATACTGAGAAAGTGTAATCCCAATTGTAACATATGTTACATTTGACCCTTTCCAAAATGGCCCTGTGTATTCATGAGAGTGCACGTTAATATGGACTATTACCACGACTGGAGAATGAATACAATCCTCAAGGGCTTACAAATCAACAGAGAGAATCTAACAAAGACAATAATCACCAAATTGTCTTCCAACAAATAATGGCCTCCTCAAAGACTAACCCACATTTTCCAGATCATTTCTCATTCATGAAACTAAATCAATTTATCCTTATCCCAGCCTCAACAATAGTCATTTCCGTATGCAAATTCCCATCCCACCTGCAGTAGCCCCTCCAGTGACACACAGACCCCAGCTAGGGCATTCATCACAGGCTGGTAATCCAACCAGACTACCAGGCTGTCAGTGTGCTGGTCTTGCTCACACAGGCCATGACTATCAGGGGATTCCTCTCAAGTCACACTATCACATGTGCTTTGGATGGAGTGAATTTTGCTAAATGAGAGTTTGCAGCATGTCAGCTTTGATTAGGGCCGTGTATTGGCAAATAAATTGTATTGCAATATATCGCAATTCAGGTACATGTATTGTGATACGTTTTGTGATATATTTGGAACTTACGTGTTTGACAGTGAGTGACACTAATTGTGCATGCCAGTCCTATTTTCTACATTATAAATCTCAAGACAAATATGTTATGGTTCTGATAACAGCAATCTCAAAATCAGGTTACATACACTTCTTCTTTTCTATGTTTTAATACAATTTATAGCATTGCAGTATGCCGCTTTGTCATTGAACAATGAAGGAAAACATCTGTCTTGAATGAAAGTCTGTGTAGATTTTAACAAAATTGGAAATTTAAATTAAAAATTGTATATTTATATACTTATCCTATCTCACGATTTGCACTTCTCTCTCTTGCTTCGACGCTGAGTGGAACGAATGAGAACTTTTTCCTGTAGGCCTCTCTTGTCCATACGCCCGTGTTCCCCAGGCTGCTCTCCTTATAGGACAGGTCCCTAGTCCCTGGCTAAGCGTGCAGCACGTTCCCCAGTCTACCCACGTGACTACCTCAGAGTGATCATTATCTTCTTGGAGCCAATGACAGTTATACGTAACCGTCGTAATCTGAGTAGAGGGGAGGCTGGGTGGGCATTCATCTCGTGAGATTGGATAAGTTTAAAAATATACAATTTATATCATGATTTCCAAATTTTTAAACTTATCCATCTCACAATTTGCACTGATCCCACGGTTGGACGGCGGGTCACAGATTACCCTAAGTCAAAAGGCTCTGACAGTATATACTGTATAGGTTAATGACAACCGTAGATAGCAATGAACAAGGAAGGCCGGATCCGACTAGCATAGTACCTATACTAGTGATGGGTTCTCCTGAACCCCTTGGCTTACTTGGCACCATCGATCCCATGGAGTGGGTGCTCCTGAGCAATGTGGTGTTCAACAGCAACCCTCGCATACGCAAGAAAAAGCGCAACTAGGCAAGTCACCTTGCTTCGCCACGATTTATCAGAGTACCCCCGCAATTACGACTAGTAATCGAGCCCACACATGCTTCGAGACAGCCCCCCAGACCCCATCATGAAGAGGGGAAAAGGAAACTGAATTGGAAAACTCACAAGTTTAACGTTCAACGCCAAATCAACACCACATGACTTCCACTACTTACCACAGTTAGGTCAAAACGGTGTGCTAAGGTACTTAGGAGCTTGAACGCTACGAAATCCACAAGGAAATCGGGAAGGACTCACTACACTGACGTGATTGCTCCGTGGAGCAGAGGTCAGCAAGCGAGATTGTTGAACACTTCTACATCCATAGGGAGCAACGACAAGGTAGGCCCATAACTACCAAGGTCACAACGTGTGATGGTTAGTTCGAACCCATTGACTTACTAAGCACAATTGCTCCCAGGGACCAGGACTCCCGAGCAATGTGGTGTTCAGTCACTACCTTCCGAAAAGTGAAAGGACGCAGCTTAGCGAGTGTAATCAGTCGCATTACCACGATTTCCAAGGTACCCCCGTAATAAAAGTCTAATGACTAGTATCGGGCCAGCCCCTGCTTTCGAAACAACCCCCACAGACACTGTCCCGAGGAGGGTGAAAGGGTAATTGAATCGTCAAACTCACAATTTTAACGTTCAGTACCACAACATCATCTTATGACTTCCACTACTTACCACAGTATGATCACATAGATGTGTAAAGGTACTTAGGAGCATGAACGCTACGAAGTGTAACACTTCAGGAATGACTCACTTCACTGATGTAAGTACTCCATAGAGCAGACAACAGTAAGTGAGGTGGCGACTCTCCAGAGTAAGGAGAAATCGAAGTCCCGGAAGAATCAAAGATACAAATCAGAAATAAAATTCAGAATTTGATTCAGATTGTACAAAAAGCAGCAACGATCGCAACTGGTAATGATCTGCCCTGAAGCTGATGGTTGTACCCAATGGCGAACAGGTCTACATCTGGTCGTGATAACAGATGGATCTTCGATTGGAATATCAGAGGCAGTTGTTTCCACTCCGTGAGTGACGGGAGTTTGGGACGTGACAGGGCATCGGCAATGACTTTGCTCATCCCGGAAATGTGTCGGGCTCTGGCCACTGTGTTGAGTGAATCGATCAGATGATAAATTTCAAACATCAACTGAAGAAGAGCTGCTGATCCTGTCGACCCCTGATGGTTGATGTATCAAACTACCATCGAAATGTCTGATTGAATCAGTATATGAGAGGACCGTAGTTCAACTGCCCAATGCCGAACGGCAAGAATGACAGTGCTGAATTCCAATTCGTTGATATGAAGGGCCCTTTCTCCTGATGACCACTGCTAGGCCACTTGATGGAGAAAGTGAGCACCCCCAGCTTGAGAGATGCGTCGACGAACAGGTGTCAAGTCGGTATGAAGGGCACCATAGAGATTCCAACACAAACATTCCACTTGTTGAGCCACCAACGAAAGACTGAATGTAGTTGTGCGGGAAGACGAATCAACTCCCTGGGGTTGTCGTCCCGGATGTATGGGCACAGAAACATCTGAAGAGGGTGAAGCTGCAGCTTGCCCCTGTCAGTCAGCACTTGTGCCGACGTCAACCACCCTAGTAACTTTCGCCACTAGCGAAAAGTTGTGGGTTGGACCAGCACTAGTGGTACGCTGCACTGAATCTGGTCCCACCTCTCCTGGGGCACAAACATTATGACCTGTCGGTTTGACTGACTGACTGAGTTGAGTTTTCGTCGCTTTTAGCAATATTCCAGCAATACTTAACTACTTTAAGCTACCCCACCGCCCCGATTAAATCTTGAATGAGATTAGTCCCGGTCACGGAGGAATGTTGAGAACTGGGACCGTCAGACCGTCAAGTGCCGAACGTAATATGTCTAGATGACTGCTCTACTGACATCAAATCAGAATCGACTCGGCATGGTGAAGCACATACCTACTACCTCTGTTCAACCAGCAGAAAAAGGGTACCAGGTGGGATAAGTTATGTGACTAAAAACTTTAAATGCCTCACAAGCCGTAAGGTAAACTGGATAAACAAATCAGTTTGTTGTGCTTAGAGCTTGCCACTCCGTGGTGAGGAATTCAGTGCCTCACAGATGCCCTGAAAACTAGGATCGTGTTGAAAACTAGCAGAGTTCGACAAATTTGGCCGTATCTAGATGCAAGTTCACGATCCTCGTTGAGGATGTGAAAAACCAGTGTTGACAAGTCCCGATCCTTCGTGTTGAATGTAATAAATAGAACATCTGGTATTTTCCTCAAGGTAGCTGTAGGTGGTCGGCGAACCAAGCGATTATGTGTGTCAAATCAACCAATACAATTCCTGCATCTTAAAGGCGACTGGCATTGTGAAAACAAAGAGGCGAAGTTCGATGTGGGTTAAGTGTCTTGGGAGGCATTCCAGACACAATTTGCATAGGCTCTGACAAACCAATAGGCTGGTAAGATGCGCCATGTTGGATATAACATGAGTGGTGAATCGCCGAATTCGGTGAATCAGAATCAGCTCAAGTGGTAGGCTAGGTCCGAGGAATGGATTATTGACGAATGCTGACAGTTCAATGAATGCTGACGAATCAGTGATCTTGAACGGCCAGGTGAACTGGTTCGGCGATATGAACTGGTTCGGCGATATGAAGCGGTTCAGCCTGGTGAAACAGGACGAGTCAGGCTAGTAAATCTGTTCAGCTTAGTGATCCGATTCAGAATGGTGAGCCGGAATGTTGATGTGATCAGGATCAGCGTTGTGATCTGGATCGTGTCTGTGATCTGAATCGGTTTGGTAATCCGAAACATTTAAATGATCTCATCTGATGGAGAGATCTAGAACGATCAGATGAACCGGTGAGGTGAAATGTTCGGATGAGGAGGTGAACTGTTCCAGTGCGATGAATCGAATCAATGATGTGAACCGTTTCGGCGATAAGAAACAGTCATATACATGGCGAATTATGCAATACGCCTTGGCGAAACGGTTCGGTCTGGTGAATCCATTCGGTGTGGCGAACCGATTCAGTGTGGTCTGGTGAATCCATTAGATGTGGTGTGAGTCAACTCGCAAACACAGAAGCGGTTCAACTCTGTCTGCCAGCCAATGGGAGCAAGCATGTCTATATGCTCATAAAAACGTCCTTGATAAGGGAGCACATTCCCAGCAACACTTGCTTCAGGAACACAGGTCAATACAACCCACACATGACGAGCGGGGATGCGAGGAAGAAAATATTGTTACAGTGTGCGCAAAATTACGCTACTTTGGGTTAACTACCCATGATATATTTCTCATGTTAACTGAGACCTCTCACAAAACGTCCACACAGTGGTGCAAGAAGAAGAAGAATGATCACTCTGAGGTAGTCACCTGGGTAGACTGGGGAACATGCTGCGTGCTTAGCCAGGGACTAGGGACCTGTCCTATAAAGAGAGCAGCCTGGGGAACATGGGCGTATGGACAAGAGAGGCCTACGGAAAAGTTCTCATTCGTTCCACTCAGCGTCGAAGCAAGAGAGAGAAGTGCAAATTGTGAGATAGGATAACTTTATAAATACTTCATATATGTTCTTTACCCTATATACTGGTTCTTAGAAAAAAATATTACAATACCTATCGTTTGAAAAGTGTATACCAGTATACCGGTAATAACATGCAGTCTTAGCTTTTATCACAGCGAGATCTCAAAATTTTCATATCTGGGTCAATCAGTTGGCTTAGAGCATGAACATTGATCCAATGATAGATGACCAACAAGCAGGCTATGATTTAGGAGATATTTTATGTGTCTAGTGAAAGTGAAATAAGATGTATCTGTCATTGAGTGAGGTGAAAATAGGATGTTCTTCACATCACAAAATATTCTGTTTATCATATGCTTCCAATTTTGTTTAATTAAATTTCAACATTATTAATCCAAAAAACCACAAAACAAAGATGAAGAGAAAGGAAGAATGCTATCAGTGAAAGATGTAGAAAATTGGCATCAAATTTTTACAGTCCTGCCAAAAATCTAGCCTGTCCTCCAAATTTAATAAAACACCTTCGCCAAATATTCAAAAAGGTTATAATCATTATATATATGTCACTGGTTTGCTAAAATTGACCCGGACATGAGGAGAGATATTTTTTAACCCGCTCCTCCATTGAAAATTCAAACGTTGGGACGGGCTATCTTTCCTACACTGATGCTTACAAAATCAACGATGTCAGTAAGCATAGATACAGGTAATGACCACTGCCAATCAAGTGAAACAGTCACTTGTACATAAAATGTCAGTTTTGAACGCTGCCAACACATAACCTTGCATGAAGCGAGGCGTGGACTCAGCAAAGGGCAGTCACTTACAGTCACACTCTCTCAGTGTGGGTGCACTGAATGACTCTGCGATAAGCTGATCAGTTCAAGCTTTCTTCGTTGGATGTTGGGTCATTCGATGCCCACGCTTGCTGACCAAATGCATTTGGTGAAACATATATGTTTACATTGCCATTTATTGTGTTGTGTAACAAGATACTAGACTGAATACTTTGTGAAAAACATCTAGTTGTAACTTGCAAAGTTTTATTTTCACTGCAGTGAACATGTCAAATTCCTATCACTGCAGCGAAAATATCACTTTTCTCAAACTCAGAATTCTCAGTCGTTCACACTTAGCATATAATAAGTAGACTCACTAATCTAAAAGGTTTATAATTACAATTGTTTATCCTTTCCCCTTGACATCATTGTTGTTGATAAGAGTTGGCTTTAGCACATATGGAACACTTTTTTCTGTGTTCTGCCACTTATGGTCACCAGATGGCACACTTGACCCCAAGTCTGCGTCTGACCCAGTTCAGGGCCAAGGGATTACCCTAAATGCTGCTTGATGAGGTGACTCTGCTGCCCTAGGATGTACAACCCGAATTTGTGGGATCCCAGCAGACACCTCCAGGGTGGAATTACCGCTAGCAAGTGATAGGACCAATTAGAGACCTGGCTGCACACTTACACTCAGCCTTGATGTCTTGAAAAGACACATTAGTGCCCTAGAGAAAGTAAACTGTGTTAATATATTCATACCTTATTGTTATTATGGGGAGTCTGTTTAGTGAACTGTGAACTTTATCATGATAATAAATAAATCTGATAAACACTCCTCAGCAATATCCTAAGAGAGAGAGAGAGAGAGAGAGAGAGAGAGAGAGAGAGAGAGAGAGAGAGAGAGTAGAGAGAGAGAGAGAGAGAGAGAGAGAGAGAGAGAGAGAGAGAGAGAGAGAGAGAGAGAAGTAAGTGACTGAGCATTTTTAGAGCCAGAACCGCTGTTTCTTCAACAATGTATTCTTCAACAATGTATACAGTGTACTACAGTGACACAGTGACGTCGAACTCAAAGGGAGCACTGATCTTAGTTTCTTACAACCATAGTTTATTATACACATTTCATCTAAAATATACGTGCAATGTCCAGGGCCCCAAAAGTAGTTTGAATAACCATCAGTCCATTATAAGCATTATGAATGAAGTTGACTGTATATACAGAGGACATATCAGAAATATTAAATTATCAATTCTTACCCTCTACGTCTCGCTGGTCTGGGTCTGCCCCCTTTTTCAGCAGGAACTGACAGACTTCAGTATGGCCCTCCTTGGCCGCTAGCATCAGTGAGGTCCTACATCAAAGAGAAACACCATAGTCACCTATTGTTGCTGGCAGCAGAGACAATCATGGTCTCTGGCAGCATGATGTCACCATGGGAACATCCTAGCGTAATAATAACTGATGCAGGGAAAGTCAAAAGTATTGCAGCCCACATTTTTAACAACTTCAAAACAACAGTGTCCTGAACATATGTCCTGAACAATACAAGTATCAAGTTTCCGAATCATGCATTGGTTCACACCTATTGTGAAAATATGTACTTCACAACTTAAGGTACAAGTGATAGCACAACTATTGAGAAAGGAAAGAGACATTCTGGTAGCAATTCTCATAATCAACACTCAGGACCACGGGAGCAAGGGCCTGGCAGTCATCTTGTACAGCCCTGTACACGGTCACTTGAAACTGTTCACAGTTCCTAGGAGAGTCATTCAGCAGGTGCCCTTGCATGTGGTACTCCTCTACAAACATTCATTCTGATCAGGGTACACTGATCACCAGTTGATATGTTTCCCTTGTATCAAATATGGTTATCAGAAAAGGAATGGAACACAGATAGTTACCATACCAAACCAAACTCTCCCTAGACAGGATCAAATATTTCTATTAGAGACACTTCTTCTTTTGGTGCCTCAAAACAAACACTTAAAACAATCGTGAAATAGGTGTCTGATTTGCTGCCTACTGCAAAATGTTGGCAACCTCAAGGCATGCAACAGCAAGAACCTGGAACTACATCCAAGGGGGTGTCAGAATGCTGATCATTGCACAGGGGTGGAAATAAATTTAAAAATTGCTAGTGTACTCCGGAAAAGTGGCACATGTAAAATCACTTGCCCTGATAATTTTTCCACTATACCGATAATTTTCTTGTTGATTTTTTAAAATAAACAACATAAATAACATTGGAAAGTCAACTTGACACCGGTACAGTGTGATATACAAATTTGCTTGCCCGACAGAAAAATACACTGGACTCGGACGTCGGACGGTTATTTCCACCCCTGTTGCATGACACAAAAATAATAGCAACTTGCCACTCAAGCACATTTAAATTAACTTTAATGCATCCCTTTCTTCTGGTTCAAGATGGCAAGGATGGCATAGTTGGCATAGTTGACAGAGTTGACTCCATTAAGTTTTTATATATATGAACTCAAGCTGTATGTGTTTCTCCACGTGTTACCTTGAGACATGTTAGCATGAACTACACAGACAGATAACTACGACAAGCATCACGTCAGGCTACACGTGTTACCTTGAGACATGTTAGCATGAACTACACAGACAGATAACTACGACAAGCATCACGCCAGGCTACACATGTTACCTTGAGACATGTTAGCATGAACTACACAGACAGATAACTACGACAAGCATCACGTCAGGCTACACGTGTTACCTTGAGACATGTTAGCATGAACTACACAGACAGATAACTACGACCAAGCATCACGCCAGGCCACACGCGTTACCTTGAGACATGTTAGCATGAGCTACACAGACAGATAACTTCACGACAAGCATCACGCCAGGCTACATCGTGTTACCTTGAGACATGTTAGCATGAGCTACACAGACAGATAACTACGACAAGCATCACGCCAGGCTACACGCGGTTACCTTGAGACATGTTAGCATGAACTACACAGACAGATAACTACGACAAGCATCACGCCAGGCTACACATGTTACCTTGAGACATGTTAGCATGAGCTACACAGACAGATAACTGACGACAAGCATCACGGCCAGGCTACACGCAGTTACCTTGAGACATGTTAGCATGAACTACACAGACAGATAACTACGACAAGCATCACGCCAGGCTACACGTGGTTACCTTGAGACATGTTAGCATGAACTACACAGATAACTACGACAAGCATCACAAGCATCAGGCTACACGCGGTTACCTTGAGACATGTTAGCATGAACTACACAGACAGATAACTACGACAAGCATCACGCCAGGCTACACGTGTTACCTTGAGACATGTTAGCATGAACTACACAGACAGATAACTACTTACAAGCATCACGCCAGGCTACACGCAGTTACCTTGAGACATGTTAGCATGAACTACACAGACAGATAACTACGATAAGCATCACGCCAGGCTACACGTGTTACCTTGAGACATGTTAGCATGAACTACACAGACAGATAACTACGACAAGCATCACGCCAGGCTACTACACATGTTACCTTGAGACATGTTAGCATGAACTACACAGACAGATAACTACGACAAGCATCACGCCAGGCTACACGCATTACCTTGAGACATGTTAGCATGAACTACACAGACAGATAACTACGACACAAGCATCACGTCAGGCTACACATGTTACCTTGAGACATGTTAGCATGAACTACACAGACAGATAACTACTTACAAGCATCACGCCAGGCTACACGTGTTACCTTGAGACATGTTAGCATGAACTACACAGACAGATAACTACGACAAGCATCACGTCAGGCTACACATGTTACCTTGAGACATGTTAGCATGAGCTACACAGACAGATAACTAGGACAAGCATCACGTCAGGCTACACGTGTTACCTTGAGACATGTTAGCATGAACTACACAGACAGATAACTACTTACAAGCATCACGCCAGGCTACACGCAGTTACCTTGAGACATGTTAGCATGAGCTACACAGACAGATAACTACTTACAAGCATCACGCCAGGCTACTCCACGTGTTACCTTGAGACATGTTAGCATGAACTACACAGACAGATAACTACGACAAGCATCACGCCAGGCTACACGTGTTACCTTGAGACATGTTAGCATGAACTACACAGACAGATAACTACGACAAGCATCACGCCAGGCTACACGTGTTACCTTGAGACATGTTAGCATGAACTACACAGACAGATAACTACGACAAGCATCACGCCAGGCTACACGTGTTACCTTGAGACATGTTAGCATGAACTACACAGACAGATAACTACGACAAGCATCACGCCAGGCTACACGTGTTACCTTGAGACATGTTAGCATGAACTACACAGACAGATAACTACGACAAGCATCACGCCAGGTTACACGTGTTACCTTGAGACATGTTAGCATGAACTACACAGACAGATAACTACGACAAGCATCATCACGTACAGGCTACACATGTTACCTTGAGACATGTTAGCATGAACTACACAGACAGATAACTACTTGACAAGCATCACGCCAGGCTACACGTGTTACCTTGAGACATGTTAGCATGAACTACACAGACAGATAACTACGCCAAGCATCACGTCAGGTTACACGTGTTACCTTGAGACATGTTAGCATGAGCTACACAGACAGATAACTACGACAAGCATCACGTCAGGCTACACGCATACCTTGAGACATGTTAGCATGAACTACACAGACAGATAACTACAGATAACTACACGCGTTAAGACATGTTATCACTACTACAGACAGGTAACACGACAAGCATCAGCCAGGCCACATGTACCTTGAGACATGTTAGCATGAACTACACAGACAGATAACTACGACAAGCATCACGCCAGGCTACACATGTTACCTTGAGACATGTTAGCATGAACTACACAGACAGATAACTACGACAAGCATCACGCCAGGCTACACGTGTTACCTTGAGACATGTTAGCATGAACTACACAGACAGATAACTACGACAAGCATCACGCCAGGCTACACATGTTACCTTGAGACATGTTAGCATGAACTACACAGACAGATAACTACGACAAGCATCACGCCAGGCTACATCGTGTTACCTTGAGACATGTTAGCATGAACTACACAGACAGATAACTACGACAAGCATCACGTCAGGCTACACGTGTTACCTTGAGACATGTTAGCATGAACTACACAGACAGATAACTACGACAAGCATCACGTCAGGCTACACGTGTTACCTTGAGACATGTTAGCATGAACTACACAGACAGATAACTACTTAACAAGCATCACGCCAGGCTACACGCAGTTACCTTGAGACATGTTAGCATGAACTACACAGACAGATAACTACGACAAGCATCACGCCAGGTTACACGCAGTTACCTTGAGACATGTTAGCATGAACTACACAGACAGATAACTACTTTACAAGCATCACGCCAGGCTACACGTGTTACCTTGAGACATGTTAGCATGAACTACACAGACAGATAACTACTTGGCATTAAGCATCACGCCAGGCTACACGTGTTACCTTGAGACATGTTAGCATGAACTACACAGACAGATAACCACGACAAGCATCACGCCAGGCTACACATGTTACCTTGAGAACATGTTAGCATGAACTACACAGACAGATAACTACGTTAGCATGAACTACACACAGATAACTCATAAGCATCATCACGCCAGGCTACATGTTACCTTGAGACATGTTAGCATGAACTACACAGACAGATAACTACGACAAGCATCACGTCAGGCTACACGTGTTACCTTGAGACATGTTAGCATGAACTACACAGACAGATAACTACGACAAGCATCACGCCAGGCTACACGTTACCTTGAGACATGTTAGCATGAACTACACAGACAGATAACTACTACGACAAGCATCACGCCAGGCTACACGTTACCTTGAGACATGTTAGCATGAACTACACAGACAGATAACTACACGACAAGCATCACGCCAGGCTACACGTGTTACCTTGAGACATGTTAGCATGAACTACACAGACAGATAACTACTTACAAGCATCACGCCAGGCTACACGCAGTTACCTTGAGACATGTTAGCATGAACTACACAGACAGATAACTACGACAAGCATCACGTCAGGCTACACGTGTTACCTTGAGACATGTTAGCATGAACTACACAGACAGATAACTACGACAAGCATCACGTCAGGCTACACGTGTTACCTTGAGACATGTTAGCATGAACTACACAGACAGATAACTACGACAAGCATCACGTCCAGGCTACATCGCAGTTACCTTGAGACATGTTAGCATGAACTACCACAGACAGATAACTACGACAAGCATCACGCCAGGCTTACTCCAACATCAAGCCCAGGATATAACCAAAATACTGTTCAGTGTGGTGTTGAACCCAACTCCCTCACTCACACTTGTGTCAGATTCAGGTGGATCCAGTGACAATAATACACTACGGGGATCTACAAGATATTCCGGCACTTACATGCGATGCATGTCCTGAGCATTAACATCAGCACCCTTGTCCACCAGCCATTTACACGTTGCCATGTCTCCACGATGTGAGGCGAAGAAAAGCGGGGTTTTCCCGGTCTGCAAGAACATATTCAGATATATGTCACTTCATAAAAATCTTAAAACTTTATCAAAAGTCAAAGAAACATTTCTTTCATCATATCTTGAGACAGATAATGTTTAGATTCCAGCGGCAAGTTCAAGCAACACATCAGGAGGTTTTACATCACTGTCTTGTGAATAACAGAATTCATTTATCATTGTTTATTTGGGAGGGAAACGACAGTGGTGAAGAAATCATTTCATGTGGTCTTATCATTTACTTAATTATGTTTAGAGATATGAATCAAAGCTGAATCTAATTGCTGGATATTTACAACATCATGGATTCAACAATATCACAAAAACAAATGGAAAAAAATCACAAATAATTCTGTTTTCACATTTAGCACAACAGATATAATGACAGATATATAAAACAGTGGCTGAATGGTGGGACAAATGTACTTTATAATAAGTATTTCTTAAGTAATATTGAGAGGCCACAAAAATAGAGCATGGCTGCACAAAGGTAAGCACAATGCAAATCACATTAACAATTTGTCCTACTACAACAAATGCACAACAATAATTTGAAAACATTTCATGATAGCTCATTAAAATAAATTTTATTCATTTGCAATACTGGAATCATAGAACCAAAACACATTCCCCACCTTCTCCTTTATTCTGGGACTGGCATTGCCATTGAGGAGAACTTGAACACATTCAAAATGGACGCCTACGCGCATGTGTGATGGAGAGCTGTCATGTCATTGCTGTCTCGCATGTCCACATCGGCGCCAGCCTGAAAGAATAGTAACAGTCAGGCTGCAACGATCCACATTCATGGGATACAATACATTTCAATGTAGTGAGTGAGTGGGTTTATGTCAGTTATATCGAGATGTGGAACCACGATATGGATGAAAGTAATGCAGGAAACTAAGCACATTGGTCACTCCAAAGGGACACAACTCTGCAATGGTAATTCAAGCAATTTAGAAGGTCCAATCCAATGACATGCAGCAACCCAATGAGTCTGACCATCCGATTCTATGGTCACTCCCTAAGACAAGCATGGGCAGCTGTAGACCAGGCTCAGACCTTCATGAGGGCACCATATAACCACACCAGACAATGTCACTATGTAACACAACTGCTTACAGAGTTCCCTGCATTATAAGACATGCACAAATCTCTCAGGCAACAAATATTAGTTTAAATTTCTTGACTATATATCATCAGATCATTGGTTTTCGGACATCACTTGTTTTCAGATGACAATGTTACTTTCACTATAACAAGGCAGCTTGTGTCACACAGACATTGTAAATACTTGGATGATGGTTTGTGTTGAAGAGAAAGTTGTCTTCGGTAAGTTAGGAACATGTTTAACTAATGTTCCTGTGATAAACAAGACAACAGATATTCTTAAGTATCCAAAAACTCATAGGACGTTAAATAATAACAACAAGTTGTCCCTTTACAAGACTATCATCCTGTCCATCATCAAGACAGAATTACTACACCCAGAGACATATCCTTCAGCCCAGCCTTGCAGCAAGGCTACATCATCATGCATGAAGCCATACTCTACATGTGTGATAAGGTACATCTACTGACCACCAGCAACCTCTGCACCACTCCCCTGTGACCTTTGGCGGCTGCCAGCTGCAGCGCTGTGTTGCCTGGAACAGAACACAACATGGCGATGAAAATAAAGAGTCATCTTATTCTATTCAAACTGGAAAGATAGTAAAAAACTACTTACCTCTTGGGCATGAAGGAATCTCTATCTAGATATCAAACATATTATTACTATCAAGCAGTATACTTCATGCTGGGTTTAAATATTTGCAGCCTTGCAAATGTTGTGTCCTGTTTGACTCCCAGTGAGATTGATGGCTTTGACTCATGTAACTTATTATGGTGTAGTAGGCCTATAATCTCTTAATTGTCACACACAAAAACTGTTTCAAATTTGAGGTCAAAACAGAGAAAAGAAGTTTAATCTCTAAACTTCAAGATCATGTGAGCTTTACACATTGTATCACAAACCCTTGTCTTCCATACTTAACATACCTTACTCACATTTCCCTTATATTGTCCATACATCAAAGTTACTCACACTGTTGCCCCTTATTTCCCTGTGCATCTGTGTTAAGGTACACAGTTGTGTGCTACACTAAATAACCATCTACCAGTATGTAAGGATCAACCTCTCCATGGTAACAGGACAGGCCATTGAGATCACCATGGCATCAACCTTACATGGAAAGATCATTGAGATCACCATGGTAACTACCTCATATTGTCAGGTCATTGAGACCACCATGGTATCAACCTTACAAATAAGGGTCATTGAGATCACCATGGCAACTACCTCATATTGTAGGGTCATTGAGATCACCATGGCAACTACCTCATATTGTAGGGCCATTGAGATCACCATGGCACCAACCATATATTACCAGCACATATATATCAGCATGTTATCTACCATGTAATGTCAGGTCATTGAGATCAGAGCGGCATCCTTTTCAAACTGTCAGGTCACTGACGCCATCTCAGAACCCATCTTGTATTGGGAGACATCATCTCAGAACCCATCTGGTATTGGGAGACATCATCTCAGTACCCATCTTGTATTGGGAGACATCATCTCAGAACCCATGTGGTATTGGGAGACATCATCTCAGTACCCATCTTGTATTGGGAGACATCATCTCAGTACCCATCTTGTATTGGGAGACATCATCTCAGTACCCATCTGGTATTAGGAGACATCATCTTAGTACCCATCTTGTATTGGGAGACATCATCTTAGTACCCATCTGGTATTGGGAGACATCATCTCAGAACCCATCTGGTATTGTAGGCATCATCTTAGTACCCATCTGGTATTGGAAAACATCATCTCAGAACCCATCTGGTATTGGGAGACATCATATTAGTACCCAACTGGTATTGTAGGCATCATCTTAGTACCCATCTTGTATTGGAGACATCATCTCAGAACCCATCTTGTATTGGGAGACATCATCTCAGAACCAATCTTGTATTGGGAGACGTCATCTTAGTACCCATCTTGTATTGTAGGCATCATCTTTGTATCCTTCTGGTATTGGGAGACATCATCTCAGAACTCATCCGGTATTGGGAGACATCATCTCAGAACCCATCTTGTATTGGGAGACATCATCTTAGTACCCATCTGGTATTGTAGGCATCATCTTAGTACCCATCTGGTATTGGGAGACATCATCTCAGAACCCATCTTGTATTGGGAGACATCATCTTAGTACCCATCTGGTATTGTAGGCATCATCTTAGTACCCATCTGGTATTGGGAGACATCATCTCAGAACCCATCTGGTATTGGGAGACACCATCTCAGAACTCATCTGGTATTGGGAGACATCATCTCAGAACCCATCTGGTATTGTGAAACATCATCTTAGTACCCATCTGGTATTGGGAGACATCATCTCAGAACCCATCTGGTATTGTAGGCATCATCTTAGTACCCATCTGGTATTTTAGGCATCATCTCAGAACCCATCTGGTATTGGGAGACATCATCTTAGTACCCATCTTGTATTGGGAGGCATCATCTTAGTACCCATCTTGTATTGGGAGACATCATCTCAGTACCCATCTGGTATTGGGAGACATCATCTTAGTACCCATCTTGTATTGGGAGACATCATCTTAGTACCCATCTGGTATTGTAGGCATCATCTTAGTACCCATCTGGTATTGGGAGACATCATCTCAGAACCCATCTTGTATTGGGAGACATCATCTTAGTACCCATCTTGTATTGTAGGCATCATCTTTGTATCCATCTGGTATTGGGAGACATCATCTCAGAACTCATCTGGTATTGGGAGACATCATCTCAGAACCCATCTTGTATTGGAGACATCATCTTAGTACCCATCTGGTATTGTAGGCATCATCTTAGTACCCATCTGGTATTGGGACACATCATCTCAGAACCCATCTGGTATTGGGAGACATCATCTTAGTACCCATCTTGTATTGTAGGCATCATCTTAGTACCCATCTGGTATTGGGAGACATCATCTCAGAACCCATCTGGTATTGGGAGACACCATCTCAGAATTCATCTTGTATTGGGAGACATCATCTTAGTACCCATCTGGTATTGTAGGCATCATCTTAGTACCCATCTGGTATTGTAGGCATCATCTTGGTACCCATCTGGTATTGGGAGACATCATCTTAGTACCCATCTTGTATTGGGAGACATCATCTTAGTACCCATCTTGTATTGGGAGACATCATCTTAGTACCCATCTTGTATTGGGAGACATCATCTCAGAACCCATCTTGTATTGGGAGACATCATCTTAGTACCCATCTGGTATTGTAGGCATCATCTTAGTACCCATCTGGTATTGGGAGACATCATCTTAGTACCCATCTGGTATTGTAGGCATCATCTTAGTACTCATCTGGTATTGGGAGACATCATCTCAGAACCCATCTTGTATTGGGAGACATCATCTTAGTACCCATCTTGTATTGTAGGCATCATCTTAGTACCCATCTGGTATTGGGAGACATCATCTTAGTACCCATCTTCTATTGTAGGCATCATCTGAGTACCCATCTGGTATTGGGAGACATCATCTTGGTACCCATCTTGTATTGGGTGACATCATCTTAGTACCCATCTGGTATTGGGAGACATCATCTTAGTACCCATCTGGTATTGTAGGCATCATCTTAGTACCCATCTGGTATTGGGAGACATCTTAGTACCCATCTTGTATTGTAGGCATCATCTTAGTACCCATCTGGTATTGGGAGACATCATCTTAGTACCCATCTTGTATTGGGAGACATCATCTTAGTAACCATCTGGTATTGTAGGCATCATCTTAGTACCCATCTTGTATTGGGAGACACCATCTTAGTACCCATCTTGTATTGGGAGACATCATCTTAGTACCCAGCTGGTATTTTAGGCATCATCTTAGTACCCATCTGGTATTGGGAGACATCATCTCAGAACCCATCTTGTATTGGGAGACACCATCTCAGAATTCATCTGGTATTGGGAGACATCATCTCAGAACCCATCTTGTATTGGGAGACATCATCTTAGTACCCATCTGGTATTGTAGGCATCATCTTAGTACCCATCTGGTATTGTAGGCATCATCTTAGTACCCATCTGGTATTGGGAGACATCATCTTAGTACCCATCTTGTATTGGGAGACATCATCTTAGTACCCATCTTGTATTGGGAGACATCATCTTAGTACCCATCTTGTATTGGGAGACATCATCTCAGAACCCATCTTGTATTGGGAGACATCATCTTAGTACCCATCTGGTATTGTAGGCATCATCTTAGTACCCATCTGGTATTGTAGGCATCATCTTAGTACCCATCTGGTATTGGGAGACATCATCGTAGTACCCATCTTGTATTGGGAGACATCATCTTAGTACCCATCTGGTATTGGGAGACATCATCTTAGTACCCAACTGGTATTGTAGGCATGATCTTAGTACCCATCTTGTATTGGGAGACATCATCTTAGTACCCATCTGGTATTGGGAGACATCATCTTAGTACCCATCTTGTATTGGGAGACATCATCTTAGTACCCATCTGGTATTGTAGGCATCATCTTAGTACCCATCTGGTATTGGGAGACATCATCTTAGCACCCATCTTGTATTGGGAGACATCATCTTAGTACCCATCTGGTATTGTAGGCATCATCTTAGTACCCATCTGGTATTGTAGGCATCATCTTAGTACCCATCTTGTATTGTAGGCATCATCTTAGTACCCATCTGGTATTGTAGGCATCATCTTAGTACCCATCTGGTATTGGGAGACATCATCTTAGTACCCATCTTGTATTGGGAGACATCATCTTAGTACCCATCTGGTATTGGGAGACATCATCTTAGTACCCAACTGGTATTGTAGGCATGATCTTAGTACCCATCTTGTATTGGGAGACATCATCTTAGTACCCATCTGGTATTGGGAGACATCATCTTAGTACCCATCTTGTATTGGAAGACATCATCTTAGTACCCATCTGGTATTGTAGGCATCATCTTAGTACCCATCTGGTATTGGAAGACATCATCTTAGCACCCATCTTGTATTGGGAGACATCATCTTAGTACCCATCTGGTATTGTAGGCATCATCTTAGTACCCATCTGGTATTGTAGGCATCATCTTAGTACCCATCTTGTATTGTAGGCATCATCTTTGTATCCATATTGTATTGGGAGACCTCATCTTAGTACCCATCTTGTATTGGGAGACATCATCTTAGTACCCATCTTGTATTGGGAGACATCATCTTAGTACCTACATCATATCATAAGACATTATCTCAGAACCCACCTTGTATTGTGAGGTCGTTGACATCTTCGCTGTACTTCAGCAGGAGTTCAACAATCTGGTCGTTGCCTACAGCACATGCAATATGTAGGCTGTAACAAAAACATCACAGAGATGGAAACACAATTCCTACCCATGACAATATTCTTTCTAAGACTGTGCATGCACTGCAAACAAAAGGAGCCAAACATCTTTCATAAAATTATAGTTCCAGCAAAAAAGTTCTGTTTACTCTCTTTACTTTATTTCAAATCCTTTAACATGACAGCTTCCTGGATTTCTTGCCAAAAACATGACAGCCTGTCAATCCATGGACATATAACCAAGACTAATAATGTTTCTATGACATTGTGGTGCTTTGCCTGTGTGTATCAAACAGTTTGTGTTTCAGCCAGTGGTTTTCATGTCATAATGCTTCTGAGCCCCTATGATTCATATTGGCATGATGTGTGTTCCACGCTCAAGGACCACCACCTATGGATATCGATCCTTCGCCAGAGCAGCTCCACGACTTCTAGAATGATCTGCCATTAGAACTGAGACTTGAAAATAACTTGGCCACTTTTAAAACCAATCTCAAAACTCACCTTTTCTCAAAGGCTTATGCCTAGACCGAGTGGACATTGCTGACACATGTGACATGCATGCTCTCAAAGCGCTTTAGAGCAGTAATACTGACTGGATTCTTGCGCTATATAAGTTCTTAGTTGATGATGATGATGATATTGAGCCTGTTTGACTCATGTCATTGTGCTGTTGGGTCTGTGTGGTTTGGGTCATTGTGCTGTTGGGTCTATCTGGTTTGGGTCATTGTGTTGTTGGGTCTATCTGGTTTGGGTCATTTTGCTGTTGGGTCTATCTGGTTTGGGTCATTTTGCTGTTGGGTCTGTGTGGTTTGGGTCATTGTGTTGTTGGGTCTATCTGGTTTGGGTCATTGTGCTGTTGGGTCTATCTGGTTTGGGTCATTGTGCTGTTGGGTCTATCTGGTTTGGGTCATTGTGCTGTTGGGTCTATCTGGTTAGGGTCATTGTGCCTGTGGGTCTATCTGGTTATGGTTAGGGTCACTGTGCTGTTGGGTCTATCTGGTTTGGGTCATTGTGCTGTTGGGTCTATCTGGTTTGGGTCATTGTCATTGGGCTGTTGGGTCATTGTGCTGTTGGGTCTTCTGGTTAGTCATTGTGCCTGTGGGTTATCTGGGTCTATCTATCTGTTAGGGTCATTGTGCTGTTGGGTCTATCTGGTTAGGGTCATTGTGCTGTTGGGTCTATCTGGTTAGGGTTATAGGTTTGGGTCATTGTGGTCTATCTGGTTAGGGTCATTGTGCTGTTGGGTCTATCTGGTTAGGGTCATTGTGCTGTTGGGTCTATCTGGTTAGGGTCATTGTGTTGTTGGGTCTATCTGGTTATGGTCATTGTGCTGTTGGGTCTATCTGATTAGGGTCATTGTGCTGTTGGGTCTATCTGGTTAGGGTCATTGTGCTGTTGGGTCTATCTGGTTTGGGTCATTGTACTGTTGGGTCTATCTGGTTTGGGTCATTGTGCTGTTGGGCCCGACGTGGTTTGGGTCATTGTGCTGTTGGGTCTATCTGGTTAGGGTCATTGTGCTGTTGGGTCTATCTGGTTTGGGTCATTGTGCTGTTGGGTCTATCTGGTTTGGGTCATGGTGCTGTTGGGTCTATCTGGTTTGGGTCATTGTGCTGTTGGTCCTGTCCGAATCATATCATCATGCTAATGGAAGATTGCTTCAAGATTGTTTACTAAATTTGAATGAGATCCCTGATACTGTATAACTCACACTGAGTGTCCCTTTGGCCCAAGTTTGGTGGGGTTGAGAGTCTTCTTGTTGAGTACACTGGTTGCCTTCTTGACATCCCCCACCTCCACTGTCTTCAGGAGCTTCTCATCATTCTTGTTCCATTCAGACAACTGAAAGTAAAGCCAGGGAACATATTGAAGGTGAGAGGGTGACTTAAAGTCAGGCCATATGTATAGGTGAGAGGAAGCCTGGTTCAAGAGCTTTGAACAGTATTTCAGTTCTGAAAACCCAAAGTGATAGAGGCCTGAACATAGGTTATATCCAAAGACTTGTGCAAAGTCAAGCAAACTTTCACAGACAGGCAAAATCTTGCTTAAGAGAGGCTTGGTTTCCATGGAAATGACAAATATTACATTTTAATTCTGAAACCAGCAAAAACAGTAAATCATGTATATTTTTTATGAAGATTGCAATGATCAGAAGTAGCTGTACCTGAAGCAATAATGTACCAGGAAAAATATATTCTAAAGTCCTTTTAATTAAGTTACCTCTACTACATATCTCCCGCTTGATGTCTGCCAATGTCAAATCTGTTTTGCCTTCAGAAATTCTATCAAAACCCATCTTTTCCACAGCGCTTGAGCATAATATCCAAGTATGGAAAAGCACAATACCAATCCATTATTATTATATTATTACATATGACTGCAATGAGCACACAATTTCATAAAAATATACCTAATAATATTGAGAATAACACTATTTTCTTCACTCTACATATATCCATTCTCTGAAACCTAAGATCTGTTTCAAGGTAACCATGGCAATCGTCTGATCATGGCTGCTGTACATGAAAACATTTCACACACGGTTTTGCTGAAATTAATGTGATCAATATTGGATAGAATTTGGGAAAAAATATTAAAAATCACAAACATATGGCCAGATATACAATGAAAACTTTTTATACACAGGTACATACACAATATACAGAAGGTATGTTCAACTACTGGTTGAACCTTATCTTGTTTCAGTTCAGAAAGGCACAGTATCATCATGAATATCTTACCAAATAGTTAACATAGAACTACAGTTGTGAAACCACAATCTCACTCCTCAACAAGGGACAGGTGAATCCCAGTTGCAGCAACAAATAAACTTTCAGGATAACATGCTGACATGACATTGGATCAAGTGTCATCGACTCCTCACAAAAACACTTCCGTTTTTAACACGACAAATAAACATTACCGTGACAACCCTGCAGCACAAAATCACGTCCTTTATATGATAAAAAAAATCATGATCACTTACATCTGTGGTACTTTTTGTTCTGAATTTGAACAAGTTGCGCACTCTATAGCGCGACATCCTGTGATCTTGGACCCCTGGTCTGGATCTGTGTCAGCAGCTACCCACGTAATCTTAACATCCTGGAATGAGGGGGAAACATGCCACTGCAAGAAACAACAAAACAGACTTAACAAGACATCCATGTGGAAAAACACAGACACTCTCCAGACAAGCCTTGTCCTGTAAGGTGTACGAACAGGAAATACTCAAAGACCTGACAAATTCAAACTAATACACATAATTAGATTTTCTTGCTTTTATATCTTTTTTTATGACCAACTTGGGTTCATCCTGTACCTAAATGTCGATTAAAAGGAAGGGGAGATGTCATGTAATTAGATGCTTTATTAGTTGACAGTCCTTTGCCAGTAGACTACCAGCCTCAACTGTGTGTCAGGACGGACGTGTGAGGCTTCTTTTAGACGTCATGGGATGAGGCGTTATGCCAACAACTGGTACCTAATGCCAGCAGTCTATCCGAGTCAGTGCTTAACACCAAGTTAATTGTATGTGGTTGTTATGGTTTGAAACAAGCGAACCGACCTTGGAGACCACCTGAATAGGTTCCACTACACTAAATCAGAATCACATGCTCCCTGAGCTAGAGCCGTATGTAAACAAGTGAAGAGAGACAGAGACATGTGACAGCTGTGATTGGATGAAAGAGTATAAGATGTTTGTGTTTTTAAAATCACATCCAACCAGTAATTAAAACTGACCACAATTTTATGTATTTAGTGCTGTCATTTTTATCACCATCACCTATGCTTATTGTGTGTACAGATATTTTCCAGTAGGTGACATTTGGTGCAGAACTGGGGTTGATGTGTTCCGCTTCCTGTGCTTGCAAAACGAGCCAGACAAGTTGGCCTGATATTTTGTTTTATGGTAGTTTAAAGGCCAGAGTGTACCCATGTGTACATGGAATGGCTGTTGATAGCCTGGATATTTAAAAAAAATATATAAGATTACTATAGAAGTCTATGGGAAAACATTTGGTGGTGTGTAACCTGAAATACATGATGGTCAAATGTTGGTCTTCATTCTGAAATGTTCTAGCAACATGGTTAGTCTGGCTTAAACCAAGTTACAAAATTATAAATGAATCCTAGTGCATGAGCCTATTTCTACTGAAAACAGAGAACAGCCAGTTTTAAAAAACCTGTTTTGAACATGTGACAAACAGGCACAACATATTTTTGAATAAAACCAGTGAATACCTGGTGTTTAAGAGAAATGGTCTCTTAATGCTTCAAATTCTTATTGCCAATTATAATACATTGAAACCAGGTGTAACCAAAAGCTCTTGGGACCGCCAAAGCTATATTTTTAATTATTCATAGTTCAAAACAAGCAGAGCTTATATCAGACCTAAGTGCAAAAGAAGCTGCAAAGTGCAAAGTTACAATGCACATTATTTGTCCAACATGAAATACACAGTCACTACATTCATCATACAAAACACCCTGTTCAAATAAAGGCATGTACACACATCAGAGAGTGATCTTATAAGTGCTCACACTAAGTAGGAAACTTTACAATACAGTCCTTATGTTCCTGAACACATCACAGAAGAGAGTAGACTAACAACTAGTCTCTGAAATGAACATATTTTACTGAAAAAAACGTTCATAGTAAAAAAATATATATATAATAAAAAGGAGCCCTCAGACTTTCTTCATTCACATTTTCTAGACTTGCATGGGCTTTCTTGGATATATTTGCTTCAGGGTCTGTACGAGAGACTAAGAAGAGAGCTGAGTATACCAGGTATACCAGGGTATTATGTCCTGTAACAGTTATAAACAAGTTATATGAGTGTTTACTCTACAGCTATATCTCACATAACAAGTTTGACTTGTGTATGGTTTAATAAGCACCTGATATGTGATGTTTACAAGCAACCAAAGTGCTCATTACAGTAAATAAGATAATAAAGTTTAAAGTTGACATGGTTTTACCACACTTCTTAAACTGAAGTGTTCTTCAAACTGACAACTGGACGAGATATGTTTTTCAGAGATAACATGGGTTTTGACGTCACATCCAAGAATATTGCACTCATAAACCTGAGTCTGCTTATACTCATAACGACACGTTGACTTGACAATGCTGACATGTCACATGTTGGGTGCGTTGCAAGCCGGGAATCGCTTAGAGTAAGCAAATGAATCACTCAACCCGGGCTTGCAACAGCTCGAAGCGTTTCTCACTCTTCCAAAATGACGGAGCGATTACCGTTTGCTGGCCTGGCCCTAATGAAGAACGTGTGAAGAGTCTCGATGACGAAAGTGATGAATGTATTATTGTTGATGACTACATTGAAGATGTGGGACAAACTGAGGATGTTGGGATGTAAGCTGTCTTTGCCAATTTCCCAGCTGATTAAGTCAAACAATTCTTGTTCAGCCTTCGAATTCAAATTTCCCTAAGCCATCATTTTGGTTTGAGAATGAAGCAAGCTCATCCAGCGATTGGTGAGATTGCAAGCGGCTGAAAGTTAGCACTCCGTTGTCAGGCCAATCGCTGTACATCGCTTGCAAGCGATTGGCTGTTTGCAACGCACTCGTTACCATACACTTGCCACTCAGACACAGAATTCAATTCTTGTTTTATTAATACCAAGCATCAGGCAGACTGACAAGAAGGACAGCAGTATTTTAACATTGGTATGGTGCGCCGTGGGTGTCCAACCAAGGGCTGTCCACTCTCTACGCTGAGGCTTTACCTGCTGAACAATGGAGGTGGTCTGTCACTACATCCCAATAGCTAGAATATACTATGTTAAGAAACATTAAAGGTCACATGCAACCAAAAAATCAAACATAATTAAAACACAATTATCACTTATTCATGACATATAATATACATTGCTGGTTATGAAAAAACATATAAACAAAATTATAAGCGTACAATCGCATATCAAAAGTGCAATATTGTGTACTTGGGTTTACCGAACCCAGTCAGAGCGGGTGGGTGTGCACTCAAGTGTAACGGCTGGTTCATTTGCAGATGCCCTCACGGCTCATTGTGTGTGTATATATAGAGATGTTGGGTTTTGTAAATACATGCTCATTTTTTGTGTATAACATTTTGCAATCAACAGACATCATAACATGTCATGTGTTCAAGTATCACACCTGCCTGTCTGTGTAATTACATAATGTGACAGAGACCGAACTCGGGCTATAAATCAATGCAGGCAGGCAGGCAGACACACAGGTGTCAATAAAACAAGACATTGAGTTTTGTCTGTGACAACAACATATCTATATCACAGTTAGAAATTCTGTCAACGCTAAATAATGACATTGCTTTTAAGTATCGAACTGAGAAAGTGACTCAGTAAGAAGAACCTGTGGTGAAATAGACAAATGAAATTATATGAACAGTTTATTTACTGTCATAACATATAAAAAGCTCGCGCCTGTGAGATATCAACAAAACATTAGGAAAATAGCTGACACCAAAGCCTTCACCGAGTATTCACCGGACAGCCCGCTTCCAAAATGCGCGAACCTATTTCACTGCGCACGTGCTATGAGCGCAGCCCAGCTGTTGAAACCAGTTTTCAGAAAATTAGTGAATCGTTTGAACTCTGATTTCGTGCGGGTTTTTTCATCGCGTTATTTTTCAACTTTATAAGTTGAATTTGCATTTTTGATGATTTGTTTCAGTAAGTCCATACCGAAAGGTATCAGAATCTGCAAAGTTGTGTTTTACGTTGCATGTGACCTTTAACTATGTCTCCCAAGTCCGTGTCCCACAAAGTGATCTCAGGGCTACAATTGTAGAGCATGGGAGTTAAGTCAGACTTAGTCCTTAGATAACTTTGAGGAATAGGGCCAAGGGCTGCAAGAACCATACAAATACTTACCCATATGTATAAGCCAATATTTTTATCCCATTTCTTCCAAACGTTTTTGTCACTACTTCATTAATAAGACCCTGTTTTCCATCTAGTTAACAATGTGTATTTTGCTTCAGTTATTAGTGAGTGATAAATCCAGTGATCAACAGCATGAGCATTGATCTACGCAATTGGGATACAATGACGTTGTCAAAAAAGATCCCAATCCCATTAGTTGCCTCTTATTACGAGCATGGGTTGCTGAAGACCAATTCTAACCCGGATCTTCATGGGTTGGGAATCTTGTAAGAACATTCTATAATTCACAAAATCAATCAGCATTTCTTTTTTCTTGTCATAACAAATATTTAATTAAAACATATGTCATACATACAGGACATTGCCAGTGGTGTATAACTGAACATTTTTTACTGGCACTAATGGAAGAAAAAATTACATTCACCATATGTCCTTTGTGAAATAGCAGTTAATCAGGTCATCAGTCTGTCTCAAGTCCCTGAAACCCGTCATTTTCCCTTCCGCCCTGCCATTTCTGCAATGCTAAAGCCCTAAAGAGGCAAGTCTAGATTTTTCTCAGGTTCTGGGGCTCCTTTTCAATTAAAATGACATTAGCTTGTTCTATTAAAATTATTGATATTCAGAGAGTAACCATTAATCCATCAGGTTATCTAAGATTTAGTAATCACTGTTACACGAAATCTGCTGAAACCATGAACATGCTGTTTACAACAAAAGAATCTGTTTTAACAACAAACAAGTTACCACAACAGGTGCACTGACAGAGACCATAACTTTACAATGTATTTTCTTTGCAGACAGAGATCTCCCCTGTTTTCCCTTCCAACTTGTGCAAACATGTGGCCTCATCAGCGAGACGTGGAATTACAGACATAAGTAACAAACCATAACAGTTTATCTCCCTTGTAAGACAATGTGGCCATTATCTCGGATGTTGGAGGCATCACATACCATCACTTCCTGTTTTAGTAGCCCTCTTTGTCATAGCTGTTATCACAGCCATATTTTAATCAGCATAAACATGACAGGAAGCCGACAGTACCAGGACCATGTCTTGTGTGAGTAAGAGGATATGGCGTCTTACAGGTAGGTTGCGGACGAGTTGCCAACAACATCGGAGGCTTTATGATGATATAGCACTGAACTGTCCTCATCTGTAGTGCTATGCTTCACTACAGGTTTTCTTATACACTGGGGCTTTATTGTATATTTTATTTGAATTATTGTATTATATCATTAAAACCATCAGTGTATAATAATAAATATAAGCCCATGTTGACTTTCTGGGTGGGTCATCGGTAGGATGGATTGGGTGGGTGAGTCGAGTGAGTCGAGTGAGTCGAGTGAGTGAGTGAGTGAGTGAGTGCACCCTGGCTTCATATATTGTACCCATGTGAGGAATCAAACCCATCACTGGGCATGATCAGTGAACACTTTAACCTTTAACTTCAGATACTCCACCATCCCTTTGATTATCTGAACAACTCTCATACAACAAAAATGTGTTTTGAAGTAAATGTACTTATGATGTTATCAGTGACATGGGATAAGCTTGCTGAACCCAATAATCTCCCTGAATGTCTTCATTAAATGAATGAAAGAACTTTCTTATCAAACCCTACTTGTAGGTCCACCGAGCCATCATTAAACCACTTTGTGCAAAATAATGTCCTACATTTTACATTCATCGACTGTCGGAGATAAGATGATTCATTGTCCTGAAGTACTGACTCCAAGACTCATATGAGGGGAAGGTAAATATGATCTTTCATCTCGTCGTCAACTGTCAGTCAACTGTTAAATCTCCCGTTGGGGGTCCGATCCCCGGCATCCATTGCAAGTGGTATGAGGTGACAGAATGGTTCAGGTGGTCAGACACACTGACTAAGAAACAGCAAACAGCGTGCAAGGAATATGCAAACAAGGGAGATTGATCATAATATCAATCACTGGATTGTCTGATTCATAGTTGATATTTTTTGGACAACATATTATATTACTGTAATAAAGCAAAATACAATTTTAAACGACAACAATAAAAAAATACATTAATCAGTCAGTACAAAAACTGTGTATGTGCATGTAGTTGAAAATGTCAAAAATGTGTTTAGTTGTACACGTAGTCTGTGTAATCTTCTACTTTTCGGTCAACCTTGAGCAAGTTGAACATAGAGAACAAAAAAAAGCCTGCTGCAAAATGAACATCATTCTGTTTTTACTGCTCTTAATGGAAAAAGCAAGATTTTGTTCATATTCCAGCATTGTGAGATTTTTTATCACGAACACGAGGATAGTCAAAGACGACAGAGAGTGATAAAAACGATTAAAAAGATGTCACCAGTAATGTCAGAGTAAATTTTATTTGGCAGCTGGTGCCTCCGAACAAATACTGGCCCAAAGATGCAAAGATTCGTGGATTAAAAAACAGACAGTACCTCTGTCAAAAAGTCCCGGCAAAGAAAACCTCGTCATCACGCTTAATGCAATCAGTTATTAAACAAGCGCTTTTTCACAACTTCAGCAAAAATTTCGCTTTCAACATTCTGGTGGGGCGTCAAGAAGGTGAGAGAATTCTCACGTGTTTAAATTTCTCCAATCGGCAAGTGTGTCAAAACCACATCCCCTTCATGGCACACATTTTAATCATTGTTAGACATCCCTTGCATCCATTCAGTCGCCTTTTCATGACCCCAGTCTAACTTACTGTCAACAGCTTAAGCCCTCTTTAAACTTAAAAAATGTTACTGAGCTGTCTGAAAAACCCTTCATCCTACATGTGGAGGTAAAACATGTGACGAGTTCACACACTATAGCCTCGTAACGAAGGCTTTATGTAGGGAAAATGAAACATGAAATTGTTAGACATTGAATTACTTACTAAACAAGGGATTGTTCATCACAGCAAACAGAGGAAAGAAATGCTTAAATACTTGGACTTTCAGAAAACAATTTTTTCCTTTTTTGTTGAAAGCAAAGCAAATGCATTTAGAATACGATCTTCAGCTTGAAGGATGATTTTTCAGTCCTGTTCTGAACAAGCATCACTGCAACAACAGTATCCCCAAAAATTCATGACTTAGTTTCAAGTTTAGTACAGACAGTTTTAACAAGCAGAAGAGATCATTTGTTAAATTGTTATGAGAGCTAAATCCTGATTCATTATTGTGTGGAAATGAGCATAACAGTGTTGTGAACAGCTAAAGTACATGTATAACGATGTGTTTTACAACAGAACCTGACAACAAGAGACTTACTGAACAACCAAGTGGAAGAAGATCGAGTACAGACAAGTATTATAATTTACAGGGAGGTGGGATGTGTTTGAAAATGATAGTACTTCCTGAAACAATTCATCACTTTTGAACTGACTGCCATTCACAGAACAGAACAGAATTTTATTCTCGTAAATCATACAGAATGATATAAAGAATATACAATCATTTATAATACAAAAACATATGAGTAGATATATTGATTTAGAAATGACTAAGAACAGTTTTAGTAAACAGTGAAAGTTTCAATAGGAATGGGGTATAATCTGATTTCATAAGTAAGATAAACTTGTCCATATGTGGGTTATTGCAAAAATAAGATGGAAGGATCTTCTTACGTTCAACATTAAAATGTGTACATGATAAAATAACATGAAATAATAACATTATTTTGACAAATGGTACATGTTCTGTTTTCTAGATTACTATTAAACCATCGTCCCGTTTCCCCCACTCTCTTCTGATAATACATTGACATTCACACAGAAGTCAAACATACAGCGAGACACCACAAGGATCATGTGTGCCAGACCTACAACCAACAAAATGTATGCTACTCAAAAGAAGTTAGGGGTCACCCATGAAATACTTTCATGTGACTGTTGTCCATCTATCACAACCAAGTGGGTGATGAGATTAGATGTTTTGTTAGATGAAGGAGATTTCTTTTTCACTTCAAACCAAACATGTCTTGTCAAGAAGGAAAGGTGGAGCTATTTTTTCCAAAATAGTTTTCTTCAGAACATCCAGCACAGTGAACATTTTCAGATTTGGATGATAAAACCTGGAGACAAAATATTTCTATCACAAATATTTTTATCACAAACTATACTCCCATAGCCCTTCCCCCAAATTTCATATTAGATTGTTTTGGTGGGTTCTATTTCTGAGGGTTTTCTCTTCAATCTCTTCATCATAACATGTCATGTGTTCAAGTATCACACCTGCCTGTCTGTGTAATTACATAATGTGACAGAGACCGAACTCGGGCCATAAATCAATGTGTTTTGTTTATGGTGTATAGCCTGATTGGTGTTAAGTTCAAATTGCATGTGGTCAGTGATCGCAGTTGTGTATTGAATATTGTCATTAGCAGACAGGCAGGCAGACACACAGGTGTCAATAAAACAAGACATTGAGTTTTGTCTGTGACAACGACATATCTATATCACAGTTAGAAATTCTGTCAACGCTAAATAATGACATTGCTTTTAAGTATCGAACTGAGAAAGTGACTCGGTAAGAAGAACGTGTGGTGAAATAGACAAATGAAATTATATAAACAGTTTATTTACTGTCATAACATATAAAAGCTTGCGCCTGTGAGATATCAACAAAACATTAGGAAAATAGCTGACACCAAAGCCTTCACTGAGTATTCACCGGACAGCCCGCTTCCATGTTGCGCGAACCTATTTCACTGCACACGTGCTATGAGCGCAGCCCAGCTGTTGAAACCAGTTTTCCCCCGAAAGTCGGGGGAAAATTAGTGAATCATTTGAACTCCGATTTCGCAAAGTTTTTTTCATCGCGTTATTTTTCAAATTTATAACTTGAATTTGCATTTTTGATGATTTGTTTCGGTAAGTCCATACCGAAAGGTATCAGAATCTGCAAAGTTGTGTTTTACGTTGCATGTGACCTTTAACAAAATTTATACAAAACCACAAAAATCAATTCTACATTCACCTGCTTATAGCTTTGTTTGTGAAATAATTGATTTATTGCTTAGATTGTGTGTACTATTGAAGTTAATTATTTTAAAAACATTGTAAAATATTGGAAGTAAACATTGATTCTGCAATTTCAAAATAGCATTGGTAATTAATTTATTGGCTTAATTGTGGAAATTTGCTTGTATTGCTTTGATAATGTGCATTATTGAAGATCTCCATTAGGTACTTTAAATTATCATCTGAAAACATGGATTTTCCAAAGCAGCTACAGTAATTAATTTATAAGAAAACTGTGAAGCAATTGGATTTTTTGCTTAAGTGGAAAACTAATTAAGCTACTGGTTAGATTTAGGAGATTTGGCAAGAATTGAAACAAAATTCATGATTCTAGAAACTGAAAAAATTATTGTGATGTGTTTTGTTTTTCATTTTGTCTTGAAATATGAATTAGTGTCACAACTGATGGCACCTAAATACTTCCTGTTGTTGATATTGTTGCTATGGGAATTGTGATTAAAATGTGCTTCAGCGGGAAGGAAACACCAACGTGTTAATCATTGTTATCTTCACGTTTCCAATGTTGTTGTGAAAAATTAATTGTAATAACCCTGGTTCTTTGGAGTTTTGGAGTGAGTGAGTGAGTGAGTGACCAAGTGACCAGAAATGGACTTCACACACTGTGACCATGTGGGAAATCAAACCTGTGTCTTCAGTTTGACAAGTTAATGCCATAACCACTAGGCTAGCCCACTGCCTCTTTAAGCTATGACTGGTCTCAAGCAACAAACTTGCCAAAGCAGGCATAGACGCTGATCAAGCTACAGGGATGAGTGAGTGAGTGAAGTGTGTTTGAGACCACTTATAATGGTATTTCAGTAATATAATTGCATGACAGCTAAATGTGAAATGAAAGAGTGAGTGAGTTTAGTTTTACGCTGCACTCAGCAATATTCCACCTATATGGCAGTGGTCTGTAAATTCGAGTCTGGACCAGATAATCAAATTATCAACAGCTATGCATGTGTCAACCAAGTCAGCAAGTCTGTCCACCTGATCTCGTTAGTCGCTTTTTTACGACAGGCATGGGTTGCTGAAGATCAATTCTATACCAAGATCTTTACGGGTTGTGAAAGGAGGGACCCAAGGTAAGTAGGTTTCAGATATTGACCACTTTGATTAAACACTGGTACACCACAGACAACAGTATCAGGTAGAACCTGGATCAGTGGAACCCGGACCAGGTGGTGCCCGGATCAGGTGGAACCTGGACCAGGTGGAACCCAGACCAGGTGGAACCCAGACCAGGTGGAACCCGGACGAACCCAGACCAGGTTGAACCCGGATCAGGTGGAACCCGGATCAGGTGGAACCCAGACCAGGTGGAACCCGGCAGGTGGAACCCAGACCAGGTGGAGCCCAGACCAGGTGGAACACGGATCAGGTGGAACCCAGACCAGGTAGAGCCCAGACCAGGTGGAACACGGATCAGGTGGAACCCAGATCAGGTGGAACCCAGACCAGGTGGAGCCCAGACCAGGTGGAACACGGATCAGGTGGAACCCAGATCAGGTGGAGCCCGGATCAGGTGGAACACGGATCAGGTGGAACCCAGATCAGGTGAAGCCCGGACCAGGTGGAACACGGATCAGGTGGAACCCAGATCAGGTGGAACCCAGATCAGATCAAACATGGATCAGGTGGAACATGGATCAGGTGGAGCCCGGATCAGGTGGAACCCGGATCAGGTGGATCCCAGACAAAGTGGATCCCAGATCAGGGGGAGCCCAGACCAGGTGGAACACAGATGAGGTGGAACCCAGATCAGGTGGAGCCGGGATCAGGTCGAACCCAGACCAGGTGGAGCCCGGATCAGGTGGAACCCAGACCAGGTGGAGCCCAGACCAGGTGGAACACGGATGAGGTGGAACCCAGATCAGGTGGAGCCCAGACCAGGTGGAGCCCGGACCAGGTGGAACACAGATCAGGTAGAGCCCGGACCATGAGGAACACGGATCAGGTGGAACCCAGACCAGGTGGAGCCCAGACCAGGTGGAACACGGATCAGGTGGAACACAGATCAGGTAGAGCCCGGACCAGGCGGAACCCCAATACAAACCCACAATCATAGAGACAGAACTTTTCACAAATATTTCTTAAAAAATTAAAAAAATAAATCTAAATCGTTATATTATAACAATCATTCAGACTCTGGCCCAGTAATAAGAACATTTAGAAAGCTGACATTTTGATATGGGTTGGTATAAACTGATATCATAATGATTTATTTGACTGACATTTTATTATCCGTGTTTTATTGCCACTGGTTATCAAGGTTAAGGAATGAGCATTCATAATTTGAGTGGTTCATGGGATCAGTGAGATTTGCTTTAAAAAATAGCGTTTGAATTGAAGGACTGTTTTCATGAATAATATACGTGACCCTGACACTGATGCCACATTCTGTTCAGTATGGACAGATGCAGACTGACTTAGGCATCACACCTTGGGTGAACACCCCTGAGCCTGGTAAAACAATTGATATTATTGTGCACACCTTGGGATCACGCCTGAGCCAGGTAAAACAATTAATATTTTGTGCACACCTTGGGATCACACCTTGGGTAGACACACCTGAGCCTGGTAAAGCAATTAATATTATTGTGCACACCTTGGGATCACACCTTGAGTGGACACACCTGAGCCTGGTAAAACAATTGATATTATTGTACACACCTTGGGTCACACCTTGAGTGGTACACACCTGAGCCTGGTAAAACAATTGATATTATTGTGCACACCTTGGGATCACACCTTGAGTGGACACACCTGAGCCTGGTAAAACAATTGATATTATTGTACACCTTGGGATCACACCTTGAGTCACACCTTGAGTGGACACACCTGAGCCTGGTAAAACAATTGATATTATTGTGCACACCTTGGGATCACACCTTGGGTGGACACACCTGAGCCTGGTAAAACAATTGATATTATTGTGCACACCTTGGGATCACACCTTGAGTGGACACACCTGAGCCAGGTAAAACAATTAATATTATTGTGCACACCTTGGGATCACACCTTGAGTGGACACACCTGAGCCTGGTAAAACAATTAATATTATTGTGGACACCTTAGGATCAGTATTTTTTCTGCATCCAATCTCTACATCTGTACATACTGGACATGGTGGACACACATGGGGAAGGTAAAACCTTAAGACGACATGATGCAATAAACATCTGAAGGTTTGCAGCATTCTAGACATGCACACAGCTCCTCCCTTGGACCTTACGACCCGATTATTGTGCATGTGCATTAATGCCATAAGAAGTGTTAAGATTCGACATTGCAACGTGCGGATGTGCATGACAACAGGGACAGAGACTGCCTGTTAAATTCCATGTCAGTCCTCCAGCACTTGTCCAGGTATCAAGTGGTTCGCACACACATTTATTTTTGCAATTCTTTTCAGTAAGGCAATCAGGGAAGATCTATCTGGTCAGCTAACAAAGGAGGATAGTTCTCAGATTTCACTTCTTGCGTGACTGATTTGTGCTTGACATTAAGGTGGCCCAATCTGTTCTTGGGTGGCAATAGAGTTGTAAAAAAAGCAAAACAGTTCAGCTGCCTGCCATTTTCTGTATTAAAATCTTAATTGATAAACCAGGTAACAACATTTTTGCATTTTGTGGACCATAAACTCATAATATTCGAGAAATTCGAGACCAGTATAATAAATTAACAAGTTTCAAATTACTAAATAATTAAAGACATGTCCATTTAAACATGACACATATCCAATTTTGTAGAAACTGTGGTAACACAAATATCAGTAAAAAGAGGATATAGGGCCAGTAACAGAATATTGTGTAATGGTATATACATAAATAAATGACAGGGCTCCCATGGCCCCAGAGAATACATGGTCTTCCTCTATCCACCAAACATGTCAAATATTCATGGCTATCACATGGTGTGTCGTCAGTATAAGCCTGCAATTCATCAAACATGACAGCAGCAATAAGTATCTGAACATATTAATGACATCCCATTCCTCTCCAGGGTTTTGTTAACTTTAGTTTCGCCCCAATCAGCAGCTTTTCAACAATTACCTGTTTCCCATAAATAATCCTGGCAGGGTAACCTGATGGCTGATCATCAATAATCTATTTAGGCACAACACACAACAAGACTGAAATAAATCCTTGAAACAATATTTAAAAATATATTTATCGACAAAACAAATCCCAAAGGAGCCCTGGTGCTGAGGCATCTTGGCTTGACAATTCATTGAGTAGGACTCCTGTTTAATCTATTCTCTAACATTTGTTATCTTTGGGATTACACTTTCCCAGTAAAGTACAGATTCTAGTACTTTTGTACATTGTGTATTCATAGCTTTCGGACATGGGAGTCGAGCTAATTTACACTGAGGGGTACACAAAGTCCGTGTTCTGGACTACCAGTTGTCCGACTTCCATTTTTTGTGGCTGAGCGGGTTAGGCAGCTGACTTTGTGTGCTGGCGATTAGGTGCCTGACTCTGAAGGTGTGAGTTCGAATCCCAAACAGGACTCAACCCAACAAAAGTACTAGAATCTGTACTTTACTGAGAAAGTGTACTCCCAAATAAAATGTGTTACATTTGACAACTTTCTAAATGGCATTGTGCATTCATAATATATTCTCTGGGTCAGGGAGGCAGACTGTCGAACAATCAACCCAACGCTAAGACGATAGTAACATGGTGTTTTGACAGCAATAGTGTTAAGATTGTTTAGTGCAATGTGGCCTTCACACAGTAAAAACAACAAATCTTCATTTCAGGCATTTTTTAAGTGAAGCTCTTCATACTGCCCGACATGATACTGCTCAAGTTTTCTGAACTGACATGATAAAACTCTACTCACTCATAGTGATAAAGGCAGTCAGGTGAGGTTCTTTAACATTGAGTTCAAGATTATAGCACCCATATTGTGACATACATACATGCATGTGCATGTGTGTGCGCGTGTGTGCGTGTGTGCGTGTGTGTGTGTGTGTGTGTGTGTGTGTGTGTGTGTGTGTGTGTGTGTGTGTGTGTGTGTGTGTGTGTGTGTGTGTGTGCGTGTGTGTGTGTGTGTGTGTGTGTGTGTGTGTGTGTGTGGCTGCTTGTCTTGTTGGGACTTATACTGGCTGTATACAGCTAACCTACTGAGCTATGGCCCCAGTTTAACACAGATACCCCACACAGCCACAGTATATTGACTCCCGGCACTGACAAACCCTTGTTTTATCCCTTAATACCCTGTGCCAGGCAACATATGTACTGAAGAAGGAAATATTTCATTCTACAAGCCCCAGATAATTGTGAACATGTTTCATCAGAAATGTACATTATATTTCACAATCTGAATAACTTAATATCATAAGAAGATATTCTATATTATTAACATCATAAAAACATGGACAGTCAGTCAGGCAAGACTAAAAACTAGTTTACAAATCCACCATCTCAAAAACAATACAATGTGAAAACAAAAAAGAATAAAGAGCAGCTGTTTTTTTTCATTCCACCACCCAGAAATAACTCCAAAGTTTTTAAAACACACATATACTGCACCATAACCAGAAGAAAATACTTCAAAATACTGTACTAAAAACCTGTTACAAGTACATCTTAAAGACTCCTGTGTCCTTATTATTTCATTTCCCTTTTTTTACCAAGCCGATGAAATCCCTCCAAAACATAACTGAAATTGGAGTTTGGGTTTTCGATATTTTAAACCTACCGACCTTGGGGACAAAAATCTGTAAACCTATCAAGAAGAAGTCTGGCTTTACATTTAGAGAGAATATTACATGAGGAGATTCTCTGTAGGTCATAAAAGAATTGACCACACTTGTTGAGAAAATGAACATGTCTTTCTTGAGGCTGCAAATATATGAAAGTGGTAAAAACAAGTTATGTTACAATTTACATCGTATCAGCTTGTTTATTCATCCAAACTCACATCATAGATTTTATGAGAAAGATAATTGGACAGCCTCTTCTGATACACCCAACGCCAAACTATTTCTAACAGTTTCTCATGATATTCTAATATTCTACCCCTTCCTAGAATATTACATCAATTTCTCGTTTTACATCATCTGGGACGACAACCTTCAAGTGATAATCCATTGCCACTGATCTCGCCAGCGTCATCACTCATCTCGAGACCTACAGAAATATGACCGAAATCAACCCTTGGGCCCAAGGTTCAATATATTTACTTAGTGGTAGCCATTAATCAAAACACATCAACAGCCAGCCAAGTGAATCTGACTGGAAATCCACAGTCTAAAAGCAAGGCACAGGGAGTATTACTTACCTACCTACTTAAGCAGTGTATAGGAACGCCAAGTAATATACTTCACGCTTCTTGCATTCCATGCACTTCAGCTTGAGAACACGCATGCCTGTGTTTATACATAGGCTGTAACCTCTCAATGGAGCTACCTGTGCATAAAATCACACCACAACAACTGCTGATAGCAACTATCCCCACGACATTGTACACAAATATATACCTGGTTCAACAAGTTTTCATTCACTGAAAGTCAAACTGCTTTAAAATTTTGCACTTTCATTCCAAGGAAGTTTCCTTCAAAGGAACCCTCAGAATTGGATATTAGTCATCCTTTCCACACACATTCAACATGGAGTGGAGATATTGATGAGCAACACTGTATGCTGTAAGAACCCTGCTAGAAGGCAGTATGAAGCATTGACAAGCATAATGCTCCTTTCAACATGGTAAAGGGCTGCAAGGTCATTCCTCCATT